GATACTGTTTAGAATGTAGGCATTCGAAAATAACCGATGAGATGAAATGTGCTTGTATCATCTTGCAAATGTGTTCATGCTTTCCTTCTTTGAAACCCGTGATCTTTAAGCATTTTAAATTTGATTGTGGATATTCTGTTAGAGATGCATATTTTATCCACTTCGGTTTTAGTTCGAACTCTTTGTTTCGTAAGCGATTTCTAACTTCTACTTTCACTTTATGGTATTATTCGTTTTCCGGTTTTTGTTGAACAGCTTCGAAAGGATTTGCCCAATCCACGTGGCGCAATGTCATTTGGCTCATCGAATGAAGCAATTCCACATGACGTCATAAATCCTCCCCATTATAGACATACTCAACTTCAAAGCTATTCGTTTCAGAATGTGTGTAATGGTGACCACAGTACGGAAATTCCATCGGTAATACTATTGAATCACTTTATATCTCTTCGTCCACTGATCAGACTAGCCGGCGACTTGAAAGAGCTATTAAGTCACAATAATGGGAAGATCTTACTTGTACATTTGTGTACCATGTACCGAAAACATTTTGGTGTTCCGTTGAAACCAGAGAATTATAATTACCGATCGTTGGTAACCTTGTTAAAAGCGATGGATTTTGTGGTCTCAATGAGAGGTCGTGGTCTTCAGTGCACAGTGTGTCTATGCGAGGACTTTATAGGTGAGTCTGTATGTTTGCAGTAATTTTTGTAGACATTATTCATAGTCCCAGTTGTTTACATTTATTTCAGTGTAATGACTGACTGGCTTCGACATCCTTATCTATGTCACCTGTATTTGAAACGATGCAGCTCAGGCGATTAGGAGGACAATTCGCTTCAGTCACCCTCTCTCGCTAGTGATTTGTGTCTGTTAAACTTGAATGGATGTCTCTATAATATCCATCGTTTCTGTGTTCATCCGATGTCCTGATACTGGTGTCGAGAGCCCTTTTACTGCAGTGTTCTATTTTCTGCCTCACCATCTTTCTCTCCTCTTCCACCTTCTAGATATCCAGGATAAGCCATTTGGTGTCTTACTTATTCTTCTTCTTGTTCAAGATATCTATGCAGGTTTTCTTTCACTTCGGTTTCAGAAAGTCCCACTGTTGTTCCACCCAGGTATCCTCGTGACATTGCTAAGTATCTGTGATGCTCCCTGAAGTGAAGGTATTCTGCATGACTTCACTCTTCAGTTTGTGTGTGTTGGACTTGGACTCTGGCTTGTCGATAGCTTCTATGAAGGCATCAAAAGTGATCTGAAAGGTTTCTTGTACAAGACAGTGAGGGATCTGAGCCTACACCTGCTCCCCTTCTCTATCTTGTGTCCAGTAGATGGAGATGATATTCATCTGAGCTTTAGTACGTCCACGTAGGTAAACTCAGTTTGTATTGTGGATATCCTTGTGCTTGTACACACTTCCTCTGATGACCGATTTGTTGAAGTCACAGGTGTTTGCAAACAGCTCCTCGTTCTCATTCATTTCACCAGGTACTGTAGACCATGATGTGTCGTTCTCTTGTGTTGTTGCTCCCAGTTTGGCGTTCAAATCACCCACTAGGATTTTGATGTCGCCATTTCTGATAGTGGCTTTGTGCATTCGTGCTTGCAGCTGTTTGTGTGTAGAATTCTTTCTACTGCTTTTTCTTCTCCTTCACTTGGTCTGCGTTGTTTGTAGGCGAGTATCATTGTAGAATTGTGATTATCCTGACATTTAGAGCGGCATCTTGCTGTCATGATCCTGAAGGAGATTGATTTCCACTGCATGGTAGTGTGGTGTGCTATTGGTGACGTGGTGATAGTCATGCCGTCAGTATGACAGTGGTTGTCGTCTGGATGACCGGAGTAGATTACTATCTTTCCAGTCAACGATTTGGACAGTCCACATACACGCATTCCATCTGCTGTCATAGACCACTAACACGTCTGTAAGGCACCTTTTCTCTTCCTTGTACGATCTGAGCAGCTTTGCCAACCACGAACGTGAAATGGGCATCCATGTGACTATGTATACTTTCGCCTTCGTGTAAAGAAGAGGCACCGGTCGAGTTGCTTACCAATGGCCTTCAACTGCCAGTGGCGAGAATGGTGTTGTTTCATGGGATAGGGTTGTCAGTGCCACACTCAACTGTCTCCGAGTTCCACTTGGATGGCGAGGCGTAGGCTGACTCACTTAATGAAGCTATACCTGTCACAGAAGCAGCATATAGAATGGTGGACAATACGATAGTTATTATCATTGGCAGTGTTATTGTTAGCGAGAAACGAGGATGAATAAACCATTGATGGTACATTTTATTCTTCTTATTTGGAGAGAAGTGTAGCACTGAACCTGACAAACAAAGCCAAGCGAAGTTTGAATTCAACAGTATCTGCTTCTTTTGATCTGGTTCACGTGTACCCTAACAAAGCACACATGGTTTGAAGTCATAGAAAGAGTCTGGTTGAATAGTTTGTCAAGCTTAAACGCACTTCATTTGCTTTGTGGAGCCAATCGATGGCTTAGTTACTGTTGTTCTGACGAGAACAAACGATGTTTAAGACCATTTTTGGAATTTAGGGTAAATGTGAATGCAGAGACTTTCAATGAATTACATATTTTTATGCAGAATTATGAGGGCTTTCGACGACAGTAACTCGTGGAGTTTTCTCTTTCATCTTTCAGGAAGATTATCATACCGAGTCGCATACAATACAAAGGTGAAATTTAAGCTTTCTTCACACGAAAACGAGCTGGAAATGCTCAAATATTTGTTCAACCATGAATCCATTTTCAGTGGAAAACTCCCAAGTTCATCACTGGACATCTTGTGTTTAGCCTTTCGACCTCATCGTTCTTCAACGCCTAAATCTGAAGAGTCTGCAAAGCCGAGTCGAGCAGAATTATTGTATGAAAACAATTCCGTTGGTGATGTTTGCTGCAATGAAGTGGTCAATTCCAAAGAATTAATTTATAACGGAATGATTCAGCCTTCATCATCCCGATCGTTCGCATATCGACTTCCTTATGCTCATTATTCTCTGACTACTTCCGGTCAAACCGGTTCTTTCACAATGGCGTCAGGTTTGAGTTCATCACAATATGGTTACTACCACTTCTCACCAGCCCCTCCGAATAGAATACGACATTTTCCGATTGCCTGCGGAAACTACGTCGACCATGTGAATCCGAGTTCTCAAACTGCAATCCCTTTTCCACCTAATCGAATAAGGTATGCATATAATGGAAAGCAGCACGCACCAGATTGTCATCTACCTCCTTCTAGTGCATTCAATCCTACCACTAATGGCTCTCAAACACACTATCCTACTTTCACAATCTTACCACCTAATCAAACATCAAGCAGAAAATTTGTGGTACCTACTAGTGCACCGACGATCCCAAACATTCCATATGCAAATGTAGTATTTCCATCACCTCAGTTTTATCCTCTTGGTGTAGATATGACTTATCCGGCTCCACTCAGTCAAGCGAATCATCACCAAACCAACCCTCAATATACCGGGCTAGAATTCACTAATCAACAGGTGGCTGGTACGAATCCGAATGTCAATTCGATTTATCCAGCCAAACAGTCTGTCCAGTGTCGTTTCTGTCCGGAGAAATCTTCGAACATCGTATCTTCTTTTCGTGCACCAGTCAAGTCGATTTCCTTGTCTACTTCCCAACAGTGGTTAAATGAGCTGGTTGAAAGACTGGCCTACGGTAATTTACACAGTGGAGTGAATTTAGTTAACAGTAGATCTGACCGCCTACATGATGAATTGAAAAGTACTAACATGGTGATGGCTGCACAGAACGCTGAAACTGCTCATCCTTCAAATGTTTATCATACAACGAATATGGTAGATTGTACACAGTTTTTGTCAAACTACTTCACTCTATCAACATCTAACAACTCTTATTCACGGATAAATCCTTTTACAAATAATGCATTACAGTATTCTTCAATTCACAACCGAAATATTCTCACTAGTCAACCTGGAGTGGTTAAGCTTCCAACGAATAACTCCTGTATGTTTTATAATACAGAGTGCTCGAATATACCATTTTATCTTGGGGGCGAAGGGGGTTATACCGGTTGTAACCAAACGGCCAGTTCTTCTTGCAGATATTTCACTGGAGAGTGTTCAAAAGGACAGATAAGTGGTGTTGTGAATTCTAATGGTGGTGTCAAGCGGCCGATTCCAATGAGAACACGTTCTCAAGCTAGTCAGTTACTGTCTCATAATCAACATAAGTATATGCAGAACTTGTTGCCTAATAAATTCACCGGAGAAACAATGATGACATTAACAAGTAATTCTTCAGCTGGATTCCTAGACGGAAAGCAGTCTGCGATTACGGAAGATCCCTTTTTATCTGAAAGTGACCAACTTCATAGAGCAAGTTCTACTGTTCATTGTTTCAATCAACCTGTGGACTATGTACAAAATCACACAAATCCCCTTGCTCAAAGGAATTACTTTCAGAATAATAACGACACACAGCGAATGAAGTTATCACAACGGCTTTTATCACATACCACTGGTTTAGGAAGTGCGTTTCCACTTCAGTGACGTTTATATGATGAGTAAGAAAGCTACACTCCTACAGAATGTCTTAAACAGAGAAAGACAAATCAAAACAACAAGGTGCAATGACTTTTATCGTAAAACTACTTAATTGGTATCTTTCTTCAATATATGTACATATATACGTATATAAACAAAGAATTACATGCGAAGTTTAATTCAGATACTGAATACAGACACTTCTCGGTGTCAGTAGTATGCATATGACACAGATAATTATCTACAGTCATTTGAAGTTATATAGTATTTGCCTGCGCATAACATCATTGAGGAATTGAAATGGACAGTAAACAAACATCTACACGTTTACTGAAATATTTCTTCTCACAAAGTTGTTTAATTCTACTGCTGTTTGTTATGCAGAACATGCGCACCACTTGTTATCTGCTCTTAATAGAAAGTATTGTTTCTATCGCTGATTTAAAAAAGTACGTTTGCTTTTCTATTGTGCAGTAATCCTACCATGATATTACTCATGATCCATAGTAGGATGTGTTACAGCAGTGATAACGGAAGTCAGTTACCCTCAGGATTACTTGTACTGCTTGGATCAAAGAGGACATCCCGTTTTGTCAACTCATTATAATTATTAATGGCAAATTGATGACTATTTTTCCTTCTAACTGTGTGCAGGAGTTTTGGCTGAAAATGTGACAAATGTGACACTCATAATAATAATAATAATAATAATTACAATGTCAATTGTGCTAGATTGTGCTGTTTTGCGTTAAAGTCTCATGGTTGGTAATGATAATCTCTGTATGCAGTGTTGTGATTGACTGAAGTGTGTGATTGAAGTCTGAACTCCTCTTCTCTGCAGAAGTTCACTAGAACAGTAAGAGGATGCGTTTTCACGGAACATGTGCATAGATTTCACCAATGAATGGATCAGTAGATCATTATCCTGTGTTATTTAATATCTTGAACTGTCTACCGAGAAGTTTAATCGCACGTATCAGTATGAGTCTTTTCTGGTCAGTGCTTTGGGGTGTCATAAAGCATGGCAATTCCCAACGAATTATGAAGTAGCATACTGATGTATCCATGGCAACTTTATTGTTGGAGTGATACAATGAGAACGAATTCTAAGGAATAGTGTGGATTCGTATTATTGTTTAGGATTTTCATCAGATCTACTGTACGTCATACCAAATTTCAGTATTAACTAGTGGGAATGAACTTGTACACCGTAACTACTGCCTGAAAGGAGAGTGCTTACTCCAACGAAGCACATCATCAATGCATTAGCATTATTTACCTGTAGTGTTGTTCGCATAGTCTGCGATTATGGGGCTGTGTAAACAGAAGATGCTGTTCATTTGACAGATTATCTTCCCATCATTTTCAAAGTCAATACGGTAGGTAATATTGTGCGCTACACAGAAATACAGAATACATTTGAAGTAAGGGATATTTGTACCGCGCCAATGAGATGTTCAACGGAGTCTGTTAAAGCCACAGTACCCGTTTACACACTAAGTATCGGGTTCAGTTTAGCTTCAAAGAGACTGTTCGTTGTTTGTTTACCATGAGAATTCCTACTACATAATACTAAGAAGTTTATAAATGACTGGTTATCCAATCCTCTTTCCTTCATTTTCTTGTGGTCAGCTTTTCTTGTGGCGGATGACTGTTTTTTGATTGACTGTTACACATAACTCCCGATATGTATTAGAATCGTGTAATATAAATTCTTATGTGAAACGAAATATCCTGACTTCCAGTAGAAACATTCGGGAAAATAATAAGTAGTGTATCACTGATGGCTTTATTATAAAGAAATTCAGCTCAGTATACGCTACAATCTAGAGTTGATGAAAATTTATTTAATTAATTAGGTAGGGACGTATGCATATTTACCTCTTGATAGTCAGTACCCTGACAGTAGAAACCTCCACCTTGTGGCCTTGGTCGATCACACTGACGATGACGTGTTCGTTTGACTACATCACAAGCGATTGAATATGGACTGAGTTTAGCCCATTCACCTGAACTACCTATAACGATTGGACACATACGACTCATCGGACATGGGCTGCTTTGACACCTTCACGTGCTCTTTTATTAGTGCACACGATTTCTAAAGTGATTCTTGTACTTCTTGCCTACGGGTTTTACGAATGAATGCTTCAACACAAGGGCGAAATCGACGTCTTTCAGTAAATCCACAGGTCGCTGAACACTTGGAGCAAGGTGACCAGTTAGCCCACCATGATTCACATTCACCGAGTTCAAGAACGTTTTTGCACGAATCTGTTTGCTGTATAAACGAAACATTTAAATGCTTCATTAAAATATATGTGGCAAGTTTCACAAAGTATATATATACGTAGGTATATGAACGGTAGATCTCAACCCATTGGCTGAGTGGTCAATTGGCAGGTCTGGTAAGTTGAAGGCTCTGGGTTTGGCCTCTGAGGTGAGTTATGGGTATGCAGGGTTGAAGAGTACGTAACTTGAACGAAGCGGCTGTCCTGGGCTGCTTTGTTTTCGATGAGTCGTTACCTCATGTCAGTGAATGACTAAATCTACACTGAAATTAACGAAAATTCCTACAGAACCCAAAATCTAAATAACGTGGTTGTATGACGTGTAGTGAACAGGTTTGTGTTTGCGATTTCTGCAATATCGTTGGCATTATCAGAGTGAAAATTGAGTCGGCTGTGGTTGGTATTAAATTTAGTTTTGCCTAGATATTTTCAACTCGTTTCGTGCTCGGCGTTTAAATGGCTAATTTCACCCTTTCATTCTAAACAACGTTACCAAAGTCAACTTGAAAAGGATGAAACTCCTTGGAATTTCCTAAGGATGAAATAATCTTGAAATCTGTGATAACTCTGACTGTAATTGATTTTTCTTAAATGTTCACTTTAATAGTATTTCTTACTTTTATCATCTGGTTTTCAACCGGGTATTTATTATTCGTTAGCTGATAAATCCCATTCAGTAAATTCAGATCTAATCAGGGCTCGTAAGAATGTACTAGAAGCTATCACTTTTTGAAGTCTCTCCATTCCTTTATACAGCAGATTTCGAATACCCTTAGTGAACTTCGTTTGGATATTTTATTCTTCAGACCTACAATTTTCCATTGTGGTATATATATGTTATATGTCCACTTCACTCTTTTATGTTTGCTTTTTTGAAGCGCAGGAAGACGAGACGATGTCAGAGAGTTAAAGAGAGAGAGAGAGAGAGTGAAAGCGGTGCACCGGTCTGAGAGTGGGATAAGCCTGTAATTCACTGAGAAACACCTACAACCCAACGGACTTCAGGCAATTCATCAATCTAACTGAACTAATCAAAAACTGATTCACACATTGAAGGTTACATGTGAATTTTATCGTCTTGTTAATAAAATAAGATAAAATCATACAACATCACTTCTGTCTTAAAATACATTACTGATAGTTGACAAAATGACAGAATTACATCTATTCAGATGGTTACACTACTCATCACTTCTACCTGGCTGCAAGCCTGCTGACATATTTTCATTCCATCAACATATGATCTGCCCCGTGTCACTCTCGGACCCACGCCCGACACGTCTCTTACCATTCACTTTCCAATCGACGACTTGTCAGATGTGTGACATTAAGTGACAACACACTTCCTTCTGCTTACTTATTGTCTCGGTACTAGATGTTCGGTTGACTTGTCGCGTTGCTAGAGTTCTTCGTTACTTATTCTTTCCAACCAAACGTCTTATCCTCAGGTTTGATAGAAGGCATCTGTTGGGGAAAGTTTAGAACCAGCTGGAAATGCTATTGATGATGTGCTCGACAACCGTCTGAAGCATTTAGGAACACTGACTTGATGGTAGTGTTAAGAATTCGGGCCTTGTTTCTTGTGACGATTGCTGCATATCTTCATACTGAACTTCTGTCTGTAGCTTTGGCGTTTTGCGGTATATGCTCAGTTCTGAGAATAACATTCACAAGTTGACGTTTCAAATTCATTTTATTCTTCTGATTATCACGTTGCCTTAGTTGGATTATAAATGAATTATGTTGGAAATATTACTTAGTAGCTTGTCATCGCATCTGTGTGTGCTTTATCAAACAAAAACACGTTAATTAAAATCTGATGTGAAACTGGGTTGTGTTTCTCCTCTCACCAATGAAACAGCTGCTGACCAACTACTTGATGTTCAGTGAGTATCTAATTCGGTGCATGAGATCTCACCCGACATCTTGAGAAATTTTATCTTCATCATTATTGTGTTACTTTAAAATTGTAGCTCACTGTTATAGCTTTGCATAACAGTCTGAGTAACACTGTGCACTATGAATTCTCTTTCCTGAGGAAAAGATAAAATATGAATGACTAATTTTGATTGGAAACTGGTTAGTAATTAGTGTGGTGTGTCTAGTCCTTTATTTGGAGCAGACTGAATTCTATCAGTCAAGATTGCAGATACGCCTTGCTGACGAGTGTCTAGTGGGACGAAACCTAGGTGTGAGGCTTCCTGCCGACTGCCTCTAACTGTCTAATATGCATGACTAATTCAAATTATTGCACTTCAGATGCTTAATACTTACTTATAGTGAAGTGAATAATAATTCAGCAATTGTGATATTTTTGGCGTTCACTGATTTGTAGCAAACGTTTTTCAAACCTGTCGTTAATTCAAAACTCTATCTACTATCAGCGTTGTGATTATTATTATTATAAACCTTCATGTCTCTTCAATGATTTATCTAACACTATTTGAACAATGTCCACGTCACACGCATTCAATGACCTTAGCGTGTGATTCGATATCCCTGTTGCAGGGAGACTTACAGAGGAAGAAACTTTTCACTATCATTGTTTGCGTTATTTAGAGATTTTCTACCGTTTATTAGTTCACTTTTGCTCGTTGTGTTCCCCTATAATAATGTGATAAAGCAGACAGAAATAATAATAGTAATAATAAATGTATTAATTGTCGGATTAAAATGTCTCACTGTCAGAATGAATCCCTACTGTTCTGTCCAAAGACACAATAACAACAAAGTGCGTTTCATGAAGAGAAGGGAAGCTGAACAAAACAAGCGAGTTCATGAGACTAAAGTTATGCGAAATTTCGTAACAATTTAACTTTTCTGAAGTAAAATGGGTGATTGTCCATGTAGGAAAAAGTGCAGCGTGACTCTTTTCAGATACCTACACTTCCTCATATGTGTGTACTGCATTCGGATAGCCTTCATGGATGGATGATTTATGACAATTCTAGCACAAAATCAAATATCTACAGGCGAAAATCAGTAAGTTTGCAGAAGAGTAGGTCATGAAATGACTTCAGGTGAACATAGAGAAGAAAGAGAAGGTGTAGATATCCAAGTAACAACAAAAGATGGTGCTAGTCATCGTTTTTCCGGTACAAACTTCTTTAGCTCGGAGTTCAGTTTTATAGTAATAATAAGGTTATTTCAACACCACTCAAAGGTAAACTGAAAGTTTCAATTTTGAAGCGCTCAGGAGATATTATTTCCAAAAAATACGCAAAAAGTCTTTATTATAAAAATATACCTAGTTAGTTCTTATCTTCATCATACTGGGTTGTGCAAAAGTGGATTCTGTGTAATGATGGAACTCTGTCAGTTTCGATGACGTTGTGGATGCACATTAACGAACACACCGTTTTTATTGATCAGTCTGGCTAATTCAGCAATTTTTCGACATTTGATAATCAATCATAACTGTAAGCCCATAACTGCTCTCACACTTATCTCACTTCACTAAGATGGAAAGTCACTTTTCTGTTGGATTAGAACAGCGAACAATGACGATGTGGTAGGAAAACTATAACGTTTTGTTGGACTTTGAGAAAAATGAAAATTCCGTCCCTTCTATTTAGACATGCGACAGTAGGAATATGCCATTAAAACAATGAGTAATTTATGCTATCTGGTGATCTCTCAGAAAACCCATCACAAATAAGGCGGTTGATAATTGTAAAATGTTTGACAATTGATGGGAGGTAAAATGAAGATATGGGTCGAGACAAGAGTTTCCATCATTCGACACATGCTTATACAACATAATAGTAGAGAACCTCTGATTTGCCGATTTCTGTTTTTTCTCCGATTCAGAAAGCAGATTGTGTTTCTCACTATGTGTCCTATCCTTTGACTGACACATATAGGAGTAACTAACTATTTCCAGGTTCCAGGCACGATTAATATCAGTTAGAGAGTCACTGGAAACCAGTGAGGACTGGAAAGCTGTTTCGTCCTGGTTCAGAACTCATCGCCAATACTCACTCACCGGCTTTTGAACCCAGTACCTTCCAGTTACGAAGCAAGCTCGTAGACCATCCAGCCACTCGGACCCGAATCAATGCTCATGCATTCTAACTCTTGATGTCATCCAAGCAGCATGACTAACTGGCTTCCTGTACCCGTAGCCCAGGGGATGTTTCATCATTCGATTCATGAATGTTTCTTTCGTTTACTTCCTATCTCACTTTCCGGTAGATGATGAATGCAGCAACGAGATGGCTATCGTTCTATGACATCCAGTTGCCAGTTCCACAATCAAGTAAGGACACGCAAGTGTAATGTTGACTGTGAGGTCTTTCTCAGCTTATAGTAGTGCCGAACTAGTGGTTTTGAAGAACCTCAGCCTTCCAGTGGAAAAGCTAATTTCCATAGATTTATCAAATCATCGACTAACTATTTGTTGCACACAACCCCTTAAACATTGCAAACTGTCATTCACAGCCGTTCGTGAAGTTTTGAAGACAGTTTCAGTGTCTTCTAAGTTTTGCAGGCACTTCTCCAGATATCGATTCCAAGATTTCTTTCAGCATGTTTATTTCATATTCCATCGCACTATCGAAATGTATAACGCGATCGTGTATTCACTATAGCATCATTGACTTATATCATACGCCCTGGTATGTGGTGTATGTTTGACTAAAATGTGGTGCAATAGGTATTGTGAGTTTTAAGTAGCGGAGAAAAAACAGTGAGATTAATAGATTCGTGTTGTTCTGATCCGGTGTAAGAGCTTGTTGCTACTTAAGTTTATACAGAGGAAACTAGGGTAGGAGCCTGGTATATTTCTCTATTTGAAGGCGATATATATATATATTTATTTATATGATCTTATCAAATGATGAAGCTAGAAAATATGCACAGTTCTCTAACCAAAACACGAGAACTTTGCGTGGTCGATTTATAACAGCGACAAATATTTGCTCATATTTGAACACTTAGTCACGTTTTCCTTTGCAATTTCATATTCATCCATTCTGCACCGTCTTCTTTGGTAATCTCAACAACATGAGGCCATAAGAAAACCGAATATCATAATAATTATAAGCTGGTGGATCTCAGGCATTTACCCACAGTGGCTCCAAAGCTATAAATGAATATACTGTGCAGCGTCAGCATTTCGCTGTTAAGACATAATAATAAGCGTTTTCACAATCTGCTGTTCTCTGTGTTATTTTTAAAATGATTTAATACTTCAAGCGAAAATGGGGAATTATCTAGCACACAAAAGTTTCGCTGATATTCAATGGCATCTCGCACTTTCTGATAATCACATTTCGTCGTTAGTGCATCAGTTACCGAAAATTCGCAGCCCTTATTATAACATTGATTTACGTATTGTGGAGTATTCATATTCATGCAGACTAGCTGATATTGGCGTTGTTTATACATGGTCTATTATTATTATTATTGCTCCCTTGGGTTCCTAGTGGAACATAGGGTTTCAACTGCACGTCTTCAGTTGCTTCTGTCTTCTGCTGTACTTTTCGCCTGCATCCATGTTAGTCCATATTCTTTCAACTCCTCTTCACACGATCTCCTCCATGTCACCCTTGCACTGACGTCCCACTCTCCGCTTCCCTTTCAGCCTCGTTCCACTCGAGAAATGGCCTGGCGCGTGCGCGATGTCACCCAGCGGTCTCCTCAGCGAGTGTCCGATCCATCTCCACTTTCTCCTGCATATTTGTTGGTTGGCGATTGGTTCTTGCATTGTTTGTTCCCATAATTCCTTGTTGGTGATTCTTTCCGGCCATCTGATCTTCAGTATAGATCCAGCGAAGACAGTTAGTTGTTAATAAAGGTCTGCAACCTTTTGGAAATATTCTTTGTGATCCGCCAAGTTTCTGATCTGTATAGAAGAACTGACTGACTTTACGTTTGTATTGAAAATCCGAATTTTGTTGGTGATGCTGAGTGACGAAGATTTCCAGATTGATTTCAGGTTGATGAACGTGTTTCTCGCCTTCTCGATTCTCGATTTGACATCCTCGTCCGCTCCTACTGTAGTTGAGACAATGCTCCCTAGATAAGTGAATGAAGTAAGCTCTTTCAAATCCATCCCGTTGATAGTGATTGACGTTGGATGTTGTTGCTGTTGTTGGTTGGTTATTTTCATAACCTCCGTCTTGTCTATGTTTTCCTCGAGTCCTGTCTTCGCCGGCTGCTTCTTCGACAGTTTGTCGGTTTTCGCTTGTAAGTCTCCGATTGTGTGTGACATCAAACATAAATCATCCACACGCGAAATCCAGGTCTTCTAGGTTCTTCACGTCGGTCCAGGATATTCCTGTCTTCTCGTTTCCCACTGTCTGACGCATACTCCAGTCAGTCCACCACAATTAGGAATATAATTGGTGATAATAAGCGAGCACCCTTGTCTGACTCCTGTCTTTACTCGAAACGCCTCGCTGAGTGGGTTTTCCGTTGTGGATGACTTGACATGTGCCGTTGTTGTACAGCTGTTGAATAAGGTTGATGAATATTTGGGGTACGCCGTAATACTCGAGCAATTTCCAAATTACCTCACGATCAACGCTGTCTGTCGGAGGCCTTCTCAAAGTTTATAAAGTTGAGGTAGCTGAGGTTTGATTGCCATTCCATGCTTTGTTCTGTGATGATGATGCGTAGATTTGCAATTTGGTCAGTACATGATTTCCCTGACTTTCCTGAATCCAGCTTGTTCTGATCGGAGTTCTGTCTCCAGTGCGTCCTTTAATCTCTCCAGGATGATGAGACTCAGGATTTAACTTGGCGTCATGATTCCTCGCCAGTTCTTGCAGAGTCTTAAATCACCCTTTTTCGGTAGTTTCACGAGGTCACCTTTCTTCCAGTCAGTAGGCACCTCTCCCTCCTTACAGACCTTTTACAATAATGGAGTCAGCATATCTGCTGTCGTCTCTGGGACCGCTTTCAGTGCTTCAGGGGGTATTCCATCTGGTCCGGCTGCTTCTCCAGCTTTCAGAAGCCTGATCGCATTCAAGACTTCAGCTTTCGTTGGAGGATTGTTGTCAACTTACAGTTGTGTACGTGGTATTGTTGGTATCTCTGGACGGGTTGCAGGTGGTGGTCGGTTCAGGAGTCCTTTGAAGTGATCCGCCCATTGTTAATTCTGTCTTTCTTCCTTGGTAATTGGGTTCCCTTTGCTGTCTTTTATAGGCTTCACTTGTGTTGATCTCTTCCCGGATAGAGACTTGGTTATCTGATATAGTGTCCTCAGGTCCCTTTCGCCTGCTGCCTTCTCAGCTCCAGTGGCTAGGTTGCCGTAGAATTGTCTTTTGTCCTTCCTAGCACTCTTCTTCACTTCTTTGCCCAGTTCTGTGTAAGTTGAGCTAAGCGTCTCTTTCTCTTGTCCGTCTTTGCATTGAGGCGCGTAGTGTACTTCAGAAGCCAAGCAGAAACCTCGATTCATAGAAGTGGTCAGATGCGGGATCTTGTCCTTGAGGCTTCCGCATATCAATGGGCGACTGCAGAACAATATTCTTAGAGTGCTGCAAAGAATGTTCTTCTCAGAGATGATGTGATCCTTCTCTTGAGAATATCACTTGTTAAATCTCCCTTGAAATAATAATAATAATGATTTACTTTATTCCAATCCGAGTTCATGTAGAGTTTCTTTTTAGACACAAGTGAAGTTTTGTTTCTTCGAATTTTCGGTTTGATATTTTTGTCAGTGAATCTTATTGGGTATCCATTTTGGGTGAAGATTTCTCTTAGAATATCTAATTCTATTTTTTAGAACGTTGGGACTACAGATGCGGCTGATGCGGGTGGTAAGTGATTTAATTAAATTTCGCTTTTGTTGAATGGGTACCCAGCTATAGAAACTTGTTAGTTGACCATTCCACGTAGGTTTTCTCTGGATCGATCTTCATAGGCTCCCATCAGTTCTTCTTAGAAGTTCCACACCAAGAAACGGAATTTTTGATTCGTTTTCCATTTCAAGAGTGAATTTTATTGCTGGATGGCAACAGTTAAATATCTTCAGCAGTAGACTGGGGTTATTGCTGTTGTCACAAATAATAAATATGTCGTCTGCGTATCTTTTATACAGCCGTAAATTATCAATGTTTGGATTTAGTGGACCTTTCTCAAGGCATGCAACGAAGCAATCTGATAGTATTGGACCCAACGGAGATTCCATTGCAATACCATCTTTTTGTCTGTAGATGGTGTCGTTGAATGTGAACTGGACGTTCAGAGTGCACCTTAATAGTAATTCCTTCAATTACGTTGTTGGTATTCCAATATTGAGATGGTTATCATCTATATATTTGCATATAAAGCAGACCGTTTCCGTGAGGTTTCATCTGCTTAAGGCTGCTGTTGAGCTGGGTTACGGCAGACTGCAACCGTTTCTTTGCAACTGAGTTGATATATTCGCCCACTGATCTGCAGAAGCCTCGAAGACACCACTTCTTGGTGCACATATCAGTTTACCTGCTGTTGTGGAGCCAGGTGCATAAGTCGTTCGACGCGCACCCTGTCCAAGAGGATTCAACAACCCTATCCAGCATGGTTGCGAAAAGGCAATAGTGGTGCAGTAAGGAGTGCGATAGTTGAATGCTGAGAATTCCATTCTGTATCGCAAGTACTGTTTTGGAATAAAGCAAATTATTATTATTAACAACTGGTTAACACCGATCAATCATTCCATCTCAACAAACGCCTCCTGCTTCAAAGTAATCTACAGAGTCAAGAATAACCTACCAAAGGCAATACGCTTTCGTCTTCTTTGTATCGCTGAAGCTCTGGCCATTCACATAGAAAAACCAGAGCTGTGCATACAAGAGACAATTACTCAATCACTTCTGCTGTCATGGCAACAACATTTTTGATTTTGATGACTTAATTTTGTTTGTTCGCCTGTTCTTTAATTGCTTATAATTCTTGTACATTCATTTAGAACTCTTACGCAATTTCGTATTATCTATTCTGCTCCTATGTGCATCCTGAGTAAAACTCAATAATAATAATTTGCTTTATTTCAGAAACAGTACTTGTGGTACAGTGTGGAATTTTCAGCACATATCTACAATATTGCATCTAATTTCATCGCACATTTAAAAGGAGTATTTCAAAAAATGGATATAAAAACAACAACAAAAAACAAAAGACACAAAAAATAACAAAAAAATGCAAATAAAAATACCACGTAGAAAGGAAAATAAACAACAATGATAAATAATATTTCAGTATTGGGTAGTGGAAGCTATGATATGTTTACGCGTGGTGAACAGTAACAGCTATAATCATACAAGAAGTTATGAAATGTTCTTAAGAATGTTTATCGCCAAGATGATCAATTAATCTGCTTGAACAACACTAAACAATCAGAAAATAAACATTTCAGGGTTTTTTATTGTCAGCTCTAATGCGGTGTTTGTAGTGGTGGTGTGAGTAATCCTGCATAATACAAAATTTTTTTAGGATGGTGATAACGGCGTATACAACCAAGATTATCAGTTTAACACTGCCAAACAAAAAAATCACAAACCTAATATTACATGATGGTTAGTGACAGGACAATTTTGTAATAATCAAAGTGATAATATAGTCGGGACTAGTAGATACACAAAAGAAGGAATATAATAAAGAATAAAAAAGTAAGCCAATAATAATAATAATTTCAGGTAGCTAAGTTTGTTTAAGAAGGTTGTTCACTAAAGAATACAAATAAGAGAGTATAAGGGAGAAATAAAAGGGCCAAAATTATGTTAGTAATAACAAAGCAAGTCATAGGTTTCGCGCTTAACACTGTCTCTATCACTTAGAACACGGGCCAAATATGGTATCGTTGAGTTCCTATACTCGGTTGTACTAGTATATATTATTTTGTACTGTTTTCTGATTCTACCTGATGAGATACAAGGAGAGAATTGGGAATAGAGGGGGTGTTGGCGGTCTGAGAGTATGGTTTTAGACCATTTCTCGCATGTATTCAGATGCTTATCCACTAATGTAGTGACGAGCTGACTGAGTTTTACACCACTAGTCCTACTAACTACCTTCAACATCCTTCTCAGGATGGTATAGTCCTTTTTCAGTAACCCAGGAAAGACTAATGGGGAGCAGTAAAGTAGAATAGGTAGGATACGAGAGTTGACAAATTGTGAAAGCAGAGGTTGAGTGACTCCAGTTAGTCTGAGTTTCTCAATGTAGTAGGTTAAACGGAACACTTTCTTGGAAATCATTTGGATATGAGATAACCAAGTAAGGTCGGAAGATAGAACTAATCCGAGGTATTGAGCATTAGACTTAGTTTCACTTTTAGTCCCCTCAATGCTACAGGCTTCATGAGTACTTACTAGTGTTTGTAGATCTCGTTTATGCCTAAAGGAGAAGTCAATAGTCTGAGATTTTGAGGGATTGAGCACGAGGCCATTTAGTTTAGACCACTGACTGACGTCCGACAGGAAGCTATTTAATTTGAAGCAGTCTGACTGAGACTTAACGGGAAGCGAAACAGTCAGGTCATCTGCATATTTGACGAAGTTGATTTCGTCTGAAAGAGGTAAGTCATGTAAGAGGAAGGAAAAGAGAAACGGAGAGAGAACAGCACCCTGAGGAACACTAGCTTCAGTAAGCAAAGGAGGGGAAGATACACCATTATATACAGTGTACTACATCCTATTAGAGAAGTAAGAGTGCAAACTATTCATATTATTACATAACTTCTTTTTTAACAACTGTTTGTGATAACTCATCACCTTTGTTACTACCCTAATTTCATTAACACCCATTTTTCTTGACTGATTTTGTATTACGTAACTCAATTACCAATATTCACCTGTTTAGTTAAAATAACCATAACCAATTGTAATTTTGTTTGACAAACTCAATGTACACATACATGCAAAATAACACATGTATATGTTTGCGATTGTACAGCTAAGAAAATGAATTCGCCGACAAGAAAATTAAATGACATTAGGTAGTGTAACACAATGCTATCTGACTTGAAGCGGAAACCAATCCACCATTATGATATCCGTTCTTTTTCTTCTTCGAGATGTGCATCATATTTTGTTGAATGTCGATTTCGAAACGTTCAGGAGTCCAGTTTATGATCCAAGGACACCACTCAGGTACGGTCATCTCATGTACTGGGATGAGCTGCCATCAAGGTTTATGCTTATTCTCGTATTTACTAGAAACGTGTAAATCAGTACGTTGTAAATGTTTTAATTACTCGCCGAATTAAACAACACTATCAAAGGTAATATTTTATTAGACTTAAATAAATGGAATAAGAGGAACCATATGCAGAATACTGATGGAGGTTTTCGGTAGCCTAAGTGTTAAGCAGGCCGTCTCTGATAGTAAGACACTATCACGTTCCCGGAAGTCATTTGGGTACTTCAGAAGGGTTGGCAAGTATTCGACAGAAATATGGATAGTGAAAGGGGTTGCTTCCTTCCATAAAATAATTTTTAGGTGTGTAAAATGTAACCGGGGAATGCTCATCTAGTTCAATGCTTGGTGGCCCCACTTCCAGTATGGCAAGTATCCAAGGGAAATTCTCCATTCGAATATGTTGAAGTGGATTTATTCCGACATTTTGTGGTAAAACGGTGTAGCAGCTTATGTAAGATATATGGTTGCCTGTCCACTTGCATATCGAAGTGGTTAATACACTAACCAATGATTCATTTGCCCAGCATTACTAAGATTTACAAACCTCCGAAATGCACCTAAGATGTTTTTCACTGACAGGGGAGTTAAATTTTTCATCTATCACGCTAGACTTAGAGGATTTCCTGAAAACCGTTATATAAAACTTCATGAACAGTAAGTGAAAAGGAATACTGAGTGCCATTTCAACCGATCACAAGCCGACCACAGAGTTGAACCATAGAAGAGAATCATATGAGCCTTCAAACATGTCAGTTTATCGAATCAACTGAAAATATGTGCAACAGAATAGATTCAACACCTGTCCTGGACATATAGAAAATTCTACTGCCCCTACGATCAACAGTAAGAAATAAAGACAACTATTAAACGAAAGTTTCGAGGTGGTGTAGTTACAACTGATATGACAGTAAGAAATAAATTGTGTTCGAACTGTCCCTCAACAAAGAGACATGAAGGTTTATAATAATAATAATCACAACGCTGATAGTAGATAGAGTTTTGAATTAACGACAGGTTTGAAAAACGTTTGCTACAAATCAGTGAACGCCAAAAATATCACAATTGCTGAATTATTATTCACTTCACTATAAGTAAGTATTAAGCATCTGAAGTGCAATAATTTGAATTAGTCATGCATATTAGACAGTTAGAGGCAGTCGGCAGGAAGCCTCACACCTAGGTTTCGTCCCACTAGACACTCGTCAGCAAGGCGTATCTGCAATCTTGACTGATAGAATTCAGTCTGCTCCAAATAAAGGACTAGACACACCACACTAATTACTAACCAGTTTCCAATCAAAATTAGTCATTCATATTTTATCTTTTCCTCAGGAAAGAGAATTCATAGTGCACAGTGTTACTCAGACTGTTATGCAAAGCTATAACAGTGAGCTACAATTTTAAAGTAACACAATAATGATGAAGATAAAATTTCTCAAGATGTCGGGTGAGATCTCATGCACCGAATTAGATACTCACTGAACATCAAGTAGTTGGTCAGCAGCTGTTTCATTGGTGAGAGGAGAAACACAACCCAGTTTCACATCAGATTTTAATTAACGTGTTTTTGTTTGATAAAGCACACACAGATGCGATGACAAGCTACTAAGTAATATTTCCAACATAATTCATTTATAATCCAACTAAGGCAACGTGATAATCAGAAGAATAAAATGAATTTGAAACGTCAACTTGTGAATGTTATTCTCAGAACTGAGCATATACCGCAAAACGCCAAAGCTACAGACAGAAGTTCAGTATGAAGATATGCAGCAATCGTCACAAGAAACAAGGCCCGAATTCTTAACACTACCATCAAGTCAGTGTTCCTAAATGCTTCAGACGGTTGTCGAGCACATCATCAATAGCATTTCCAGCTGGTTCTAAACTTTCCCCAACAGATGCCTTCTATCAAACCTGAGGATAAGACGTTTGGTTGGAAAGAATAAGTAACGAAGAACTCTAGCAACGCGACAAGTCAACCGAACATCTAGTACCGAGACAATAAGTAAGCAGAAGGAAGTGTGTTGTCACTTAATGTCACACATCTGACAAGTCGTCGATTGGAAAGTGAATGGTAAGAGACGTGTCGGGCGTGGGTCCGAGAGTGACACGGGGCAGATCATATGTTGATGGAATGAAAATATGTCAGCAGGCTTGCAGCCAGGTAGAAGTGATGAGTAGTGTAACCATCTGAATAGATGTAATTCTGTCATTTTGTCAACTATCAGTAATGTATTTTAAGACAGAAGTGATGTTGTATGATTTTATCTTATTTTATTAACAAGACGATAAAATTCACATGTAACCTTCAATGTGTGAATCAGTTTTTGATTAGTTCAGTTAGATTGATGAATTGCCTGAAGTCCGTTGGGTTGTAGGTGTTTCTCAGTGAATTACAGGCTTATCCCACTCTCAGACCGGTGCACCGCTTTCACTTACTCTCTCTCTCTTTAACTCTCTGACATCGTCTCGTCTTCCTGCGCTTCAAAAAAGCAAACATAAAAGAGTGAAGTGGACATATAACATATATATACCACAATGGAAAATTGTAGGTCTGAAGAATAAAATATCCAAACGAAGTTCACTAAGGGTATTCGAAATCTGCTGTATAAAGGAATGGAGAGACTTCAAAAAGTGATAGCTTCTAGTACATTCTTACGAGCCCTGATTAGATCTGAATTTACTGAATGGGATTTATCAGCTAACGAATAATAAATACCCGGTTGAAAACCAGATGATAAAAGTAAGAAATACTATTAAAGTGAACATTTAAGAAAAATCAATTACAGTCAGAGTTATCACAGATTTCAAGATTATTTCATCCTTAGGAAATTCCAAGGAGTTTCATCCTTTTCAAGTTGACTTTGGTAACGTTGTTTAGAATGAAAGGGTGAAATTAGCCATTTAAACGCCGAGCACGAAACGAGTTGAAAATATCTAGGCAAAACTAAATTTAATACCAACCACAGCCGACTCAATTTTCACTCTGATAATGCCAACGATATTGCAGAAATCGCAAACACAAACCTGTTCACTACACGTCATACAACCACGTTATTTAGATTTTGGGTTCTGTAGGAATTTTCGTTAATTTCAGTGTAGATTTAGTCATTCACTGACATGAGGTAACGACTCATCGAAAACAAAGCAGCCCAGGACAGCCGCTTCGTTCAAGTTACGTACTCTTCAACCCTGCATACCCATAACTCACCTCAGAGGCCAAACCCAGAGCCTTCAACTTACCAGACCTGCCAATTGACCACTCAGCCAATGGGTTGAGATCTACCGTTCATATACCTACGTATATATATACTTTGTGAAACTTGCCACATATATTTTAATGAAGCATTTAAATGTTTCGTTTATACAGCAAACAGATTCGTGCAAAAACGTTCTTGAACTCGGTGAATGTGAATCATGGTGGGCTAACTGGTCACCTTGCTCCAAGTGTTCAGCGACCTGTGGATTTACTGAAAGACGTCGATTTCGCCCTTGTGTTGAAGCATTCATTCGTAAAACCCGTAGGCAAGAAGTACAAGAATCACTTTAGAAATCGTGTGCACTAATAAAAGAGCACGTGAAGGTGTCAAAGCAGCCCATGTCCGATGAGTCGTATGTGTCCAATCGTTATAGGTAGTTCAGGTGAATGGGCTAAACTCAGTCCATATTCAATCGCTTGTGATGTAGTCAAACGAACACGTCATCGTCAGTGTGATCGACCAAGGCCACAAGGTGGAGGTTTCTACTGTCAGGGTACTGACTATCAAGAGGTAAATATGCATACGTCCCTACTTAATTAATTAAATAAATTTTCATCAACTCTAGATTGTAGCGTATACTGAGCTGAATTTCTTTATAATAAAGCCATCAGTGATACACTACTTATTATTTTCCCGAATGTTTCTACTGGAAGTCAGGATATTTCGTTTCACATAAGAATTTATATTACACGATTCTAATACATATCGGGAGTTATGTGTAACAGTCAATCAAAAAACAGTCATCCGCCACAAGAAAAGCTGACCACAAGAAAATGAAGGAAAGAGGATTGGATAACCAGTCATTTATAAACTTCTTAGTATTATGTAGTAGGAATTCTCATGGTAAACAAACAACGAACAGTCTCTTTGAAGCTAAACTGAACCCGATACTTAGTGTGTAAACGGGTACTGTGGCTTTAACAGACTCCGTTGAACATCTCATTGGCGCGGTACAAATATCCCTTACTTCAAATGTATTCTGTATTTCTGTGTAGCGCACAATATTACCTACCGTATTGACTTTGAAAATGATGGGAAGATAATCTGTCAAATGAACAGCATCTTCTGTTTACACAGCCCCATAATCGCAGACTATGCGAACAACACTACAGGTAAATAATGCTAATGCATTGATGATGTGCTTCGTTGGAGTAAGCACTCTCCTTTCAGGCAGTAGTTACGGTGTACAAGTTCATTCCCACTAGTTAATACTGAAATTTGGTATGACGTACAGTAGATCTGATGAAAATCCTAAACAATAATACGAATCCACACTATTCCTTAGAATTCGTTCTCATTGTATCACTCCAACAATAAAGTTGCCATGGATACATCAGTATGCTACTTCATAATTCGTTGGGAATTGCCATGCTTTATGACACCCCAAAGCACTGACCAGAAAAGACTCATACTGATACGTGCGATTAAACTTCTCGGTAGACAGTTCAAGATATTAAATAACACAGGATAATGATCTACTGATCCATTCATTGGTGAAATCTATGCACATGTTCCGTGAAAACGCATCCTCTTACTGTTCTAGTGAACTTCTGCAGAGAAGAGGAGTTCAGACTTCAATCACACACTTCAGTCAATCACAACACTGCATACAGAGATTATCATTACCAACCATGAGACTTTAACGCAAAACAGCACAATCTAGCACAATTGACATTGTAATTATTATTATTATTATTATTATGAGTGTCACATTTGTCACATTTTCAGCCAAAACTCCTGCACACAGTTAGAAGGAAAAATAGTCATCAATTTGCCATTAATAATTATAATGAGTTGACAAAACGGGATGTCCTCTTTGATCCAAGCAGTACAAGTAATCCTGAGGGTAACTGACTTCCGTTATCACTGCTGTAACACATCCTACTATGGATCATGAGTAATATCATGGTAGGATTACTGCACAATAGAAAAGCAAACGTACTTTTTTAAATCAGCGATAGAAACAATACTTTCTATTAAGAGCAGATAACAAGTGGTGCGCATGTTCTGCATAACAAACAGCAGTAGAATTAAACAACTTTGTGAGAAGAAATATTTCAGTAAACGTGTAGATGTTTGTTTACTGTCCATTTCAATTCCTCAATGATGTTATGCGCAGGCAAATACTATATAACTTCAAATGACTGTAGATAATTATCTGTGTCATATGCATACTACTGACACCGAGAAGTGTCTGTATTCAGTATCTGAATTAAACTTCGCATGTAATTCTTTGTTTATATACGTATATATGTACATATATTGAAGAAAGATACCAATTAAGTAGTTTTACGATAAAAGTCATTGCACCTTGTTGTTTTGATTTGTCTTTCTCTGTTTAAGACATTCTGTAGGAGTGTAGCTTTCTTACTCATCATATAAACGTCACTGAAGTGGAAACGCACTTCCTAAACCAGTGGTATGTGATAAAAGCCGTTGTGATAACTTCATTCGCTGTGTGTCGTTATTATTCTGAAAGTAATTCCTTTGAGCAAGGGGATTTGTGTGATTTTGTACATAGTCCACAGGTTGATTGAAACAATGAACAGTAGAACTTGCTCTATGAAGTTGGTCACTTTCAGATAAAAAGGGATCTTCCGTAATCGCAGACTGCTTTCCGTCTAGGAATCCAGCTGAAGAATTACTTGTTAATGTCATCATTGTTTCTCCGGTGAATTTATTAGGCAACAAGTTCTGCATATACTTATGTTGATTATGAGACAGTAACTGACTAGCTTGAGAACGTGTTCTCATTGGAATCGGCCGCTTGACACCACCATTAGAATTCACAACACCACTTATCTGTCCTTTTGAACACTCTCCAGTGAAATATCTGCAAGAAGAACTGGCCGTTTGGTTACAACCGGTATAACCCCCTTCGCCCCCAAGATAAAATGGTATATTCGAGCACTCTGTATTATAAAACATACAGGAGTTATTCGTTGGAAGCTTAACCACTCCAGGTTGACTAGTGAGAATATTTCGGTTGTGAATTGAAGAATACTGTAATGCATTATTTGTAAAAGGATCTATCCGTGAATAAGAGTTGTTAGATGTTGATAGAGTGAAGTAGTTTGACAAAAACTGTGTACAATCTACCATATTCGTTGTATGATAAACATTTGAAGGATGAGCAGTTTCAGCGTTCTGTGCAGCCATCACCATGTTAGTACTTTTCAATTCATCATGTAGGCGGTCAGATCTACTGTTAACTAAATTCACTCCACTGTGTAAATTACCGTAGGCCAGTCTTTCAACCAGCTCATTTAACCACTGTTGGGAAGTAGACAAGGAAATCGACTTGACTGGTGCACGAAAAGAAGATACGATGTTCGAAGATTTCTCCGGACAGAAACGACACTGGACAGACTGTTTGGCTGGATAAATCGAATTGACATTCGGATTCGTACCAGCCACCTGTTGATTAGTGAATTCTAGCCCGGTATATTGAGGGTTGGTTTGGTGATGATTCGCTTGACTGAGTGGAGCCGGATAAGTCATATCTACACCAAGAGGATAAAACTGAGGTGATGGAAATACTACATTTGCATATGGAATGTTTGGGATCGTCGGTGCACTAGTAGGTACCACAAATTTTCTGCTTGATGTTTGATTAGGTGGTAAGATTGTGAAAGTAGGATAGTGTGTTTGAGAGCCATTAGTGGTAGGATTGAATGCACTAGAAGGAGGTAGATGACAATCTGGTGCGTGCTGCTTTCCATTATATGCATACCTTATTCGATTAGGTGGAAAAGGGATTGCAGTTTGAGAACTCGGATTCACATGGTCGACGTAGTTTCCGCAGGCAATCGGAAAATGTCGTATTCTATTCGGAGGGGCTGGTGAGAAGTGGTAGTAACCATATTGTGATGAACTCAAACCTGACGCCATTGTGAAAGAACCGGTTTGACCGGAAGTAGTCAGAGAATAATGAGCATAAGGAAGTCGATATGCGAACGATCGGGATGATGAAGGCTGAATCATTCCGTTATAAATTAATTCTTTGGAATTGACCACTTCATTGCAGCAAACATCACCAACGGAATTGTTTTCATACAATAATTCTGCTCGACTCGGCTTTGCAGACTCTTCAGATTTAGGCGTTGAAGAACGATGAGGTCGAAAGGCTAAACACAAGATGTCCAGTGATGAACTTGGGAGTTTTCCACTGAAAATGGATTCATGGTTGAACAAATATTTGAGCATTTCCAGCTCGTTTTCGTGTGAAGAAAGCTTAAATTTCACCTTTGTATTGTATGCGACTCGGTATGATAATCTTCCTGAAAGATGAAAGAGAAAACTCCACGAGTTACTGTCGTCGAAAGCCCTCATAATTCTGCATAAAAATATGTAATTCATTGAAAGTCTCTGCATTCACATTTACCCTAAATTCCAAAAATGGTCTTAAACATCGTTTGTTCTCGTCAGAACAACAGTAACTAAGCCATCGATTGGCTCCACAAAGCAAATGAAGTGCGTTTAAGCTTGACAAACTATTCAACCAGACTCTTTCTATGACTTCAAACCATGTGTGCTTTGTTAGGGTACACGTGAACCAGATCAAAAGAAGCAGATACTGTTGAATTCAAACTTCGCTTGGCTTTGTTTGTCAGGTTCAGTGCTACACTTCTCTCCAAATAAGAAGAATAAAATGTACCATCAATGGTTTATTCATCCTCGTTTCTCGCTAACAATAACACTGCCAATGATAATAACTATCGTATTGTCCACCATTCTATATGCTGCTTCTGTGACAGGTATAGCTTCATTAAGTGAGTCAGCCTACGCCTCGCCATCCAAGTGGAACTCGGAGACAGTTGAGTGTGGCACTGACAACCCTATCCCATGAAACAACACCATTCTCGCCACTGGCAGTTGAAGGCCATTGGTAAGCAACTCGACCGGTGCCTCTTCTTTACACGAAGGCGAAAGTATACATAGTCACATGGATGCCCATTTCACGTTCGTGGTTGACAGAGCTGCTCAGATCGTACAAGGAAGAGAAAAGGTGCCTTACAGACGTGTTAGTGGTCTATGACAGCAGATGGAATTCGTGTATGTGGACTGTCCAAATCGTTGACTGGAAAGATAGTAATCTACTCCGGTCATCCAGACGACAACCACTGTCATACTGACGGCATGACTATCACCACGTCACCAATAGCACACCACACTACCATGCAGTGGAAATCAATCTCCTTCAGGATCATGACAGCAAGATGCCGCTCTAAATGTCAGGATAATCACAATTCTACAATGATACTCGCCTACAAACAACGCAGACCCAGTGAAGGAGAAGAAAAAGCAGTAGAAAGAATTCTACACACAAACAGCTGCGAGCACGAATGCACAAAGCCACTATCAGAAATGGCGACATCAAAATCCTAGTGGGTGATTTGAACGCCAAACTGGGAGAACAACACAAGAGAACGACACATCATGGTCTACGTACCTGGTGAAATGAATGAGAACGAGGAGCTGTTTGCAAACACCTGTGACTTCAACAAATCGGTCATCAGAGGAAGTGTGTACAAGCACAAGGATATCCACAATACAAACTGAGTTTACCTACGTGGACGTACTAAAGCTCAGATGAATATCATCTCCATCTACTGGACACAAGATAGAGAAGGGGAGCAGGTGTAGGCTCAGATCCCTCACTGTCTTGTACAAGAAACCTTTCAGATCACTTTTGATGCCTTCATAGAAGCTATCGACAAGCCAGAGTCCAAGTCCAACACACACAAACTGAAGAGTGAAGTCATGCAGAATACCTTCACTTCAGGGAGCATCACAGATACTTAGCAATGTCACGAGGATACCTGGGTGGAACAACAGTGGGACTTTCTGAAACCGAAGTGAAAGAAAACCTGCATAGATATCTTGAACAAGAAGAAGAATAAGTAAGACACCAAATGGCTTATCCTGGATATCTAGAAGGTGGAAGAGGAGAGAAAGATGGTGAGGCAGAAAATAGAACACTGCAGTAAAAGGGCTCTCGACACCAGTATCAGGACATCGGATGAACACAGAAACGATGGATATTATAGAGACATCCATTCAAGTTTAACAGACACAAATCACTAGCGAGAGAGGGTGACTGAAGCGAATTGTCCTCCTAATCGCCTGAGCTGCATCGTTTCAAATACAGGTGACATAGATAAGGATGTCGAAGCCAGTCAGTCATTACACTGAAATAAATGTAAACAACTGGGACTATGAATAATGTCTACAAAAATTACTGCAAACATACAGACTCACCTATAAAGTCCTCGCATAGACACACTGTGCACTGAAGACCACGACCTCTCATTGAGACCACAAAATCCATCGCTTTTAACAAGGTTACCAACGATCGGTAATTATAATTCTCTGGTTTCAACGGAACACCAAAATGTTTTCGGTACATGGTACACAAATGTACAAGTAAGATCTTCCCATTATTGTGACTTAATAGCTCTTTCAAGTCGCCGGCTAGTCTGATCAGTGGACGAAGAGATATAAAGTGATTCAATAGTATTACCGATGAATTTCCGTACTGTGGTCACCATTACACACATTCTGAAACGAATAGCTTTGAAGTTGAGTATGTCTATAATGGGGAGGATTTATGACGTCATGTGGAATTGCTTCATTCGATGAGCCAAATGACATTGCGCCACGTGGATTGGGCAAATCCTTTCGAAGCTGTTCAACAAAAACCGGAAAACGAATAATACCATAAAGTGAAAGTAGAAGTTAGAAATCGCTTACGAAACAAAGAGTTCGAACTAAAACCGAAGTGGATAAAATATGCATCTCTAACAGAATATCCACAATCAAATTTAAAATGCTTAAAGATCACGGGTTTCAAAGAAGGAAAGCATGAACACATTTGCAAGATGATACAAGCACATTTCATCTCATCGGTTATTTTCGAATGCCTACATTCTAAACAGTATCAAAGTATAAGTTACATAATTACTGAATCCATCTTTTTCATAACGACTTCAGGTTATGCATAGAAATTTTGTGTAATATAATTCTGAAATGATGCAAGTAGACAAATTATTCAGTGTTAAAACGTCAACTGTTTATTGTATTGTATTGTTAGACAAGAGTGGGAGCAGAGTTCAGATTTTGTCAAGAAACAGAATCGATTCGACCCAGTGAACAAGGTCGAAGAGCAGAGTTGATGTTATAAATAATATGAAGGAAGCTAAAGGCAAAATTATGACAGACACACACACACGCAGCAAATATAAGCAAATTTGATAAATTAGTAGTGAGTTGAACTCACTGAGTGAAAATCAAAATTAAGTGAAATGTTACCCAACAGAATTCAGAATGTAAGAAAGAACACACACACACACTATCTTTCTGTATACAAAGTTTGGTTTGAAATCTATTCACTGAAAACTCTTTTCAAATCAATTCAACTCCTGTTCTAAAGTAACTTTTGTCATTGTTTCGCATGTTTCGCAGTGCTAGCCTGTGCTGGAGAGATGGTCACAACAACGGTTAGAGCCAGTTCGAAAATGTCAGCAGTTCATGCTTTTAGGGATTCTTCCCAAATTTTACAAGAACTAGGTTAACTGAATATTTCAGACAAACGCCTCATTTCATACGCCAATAGTTGACTGTTTACATATTCTGGTCTAAAAACAACAGTATTATCACTGTGTTTGCACGTCTTTCAATGCTATCGTGTACTCTCTAGTAAAGTAATTTCACCTCTCTCAGATTACAAAACACATGTAAATCAATCTCAGTGTAACTAATGCTCAGATGGGAATAAGTAGTGCATATCTCACGCATACATTTTTACATACTCTAATCCTAACCGTGGAACCTGAGGAAGATGTTACGTGTACGGTTCACTGTTCACTAATTACCATCATCAAGCTATACATCTATAGAATAGTTTTTAACGCAGTTATCTTCAAAGGAGCAACCACATAAACGGACTGTTTCACGTATCTCCTTAATGCATTTATGATCACCTTTGCATAATGGAAAATAAAGGAAAACTGCTTCTACCCCGATTTCCCACCCCTCTATCGCAGCTAACTTTCCTCAGGAGACTGACAGTCGGTGTATCCAAATTCAGTTATTTCGTGACATCGCTTCCACACTTAGATGTGGTTAACCAGGTCAAATTAGATACGTACTTCTTCTACAAGAATTCTAATACTAACTTCACAAGACAGTGAGAAATCAACTGACATAACCACATAAACCAATCAGTCTAGTGGAGTTAAAATTTGCCTTACCTCCACAATACTTTCCAATTCTTCAAATATTACATCCAACATAGGTTCATTTCTAAACTGATATTGGAACAGTACGTAAAACGACAGAAGAGACGTAGCTCCTAGCTGATATTGTTGCAATATAAAAATAACCCTGTGTGCTAGATGTTTGATCACTGTTCGATCAACTAAGCACACATATTCAATAGCATTGTAATTCGAAGTGGGGTAATCAATGGCTGCAGTATTTCCCACTTTCGTATCTGCTACTTGACCACTACCTTGATTCCGTCCGGTCTGTTGCTCGACACCTCCAATATTTTCAGTTAGTGTATCTTCTGATGACAGTTTCGATGTATTCTGTATTTCTTGTGAATGGTTTACCTCAGTATAGAATAGATGTGGAAACTTGGATAATAACTCTTTCAATGAGAACACGTTGAAATCCTCCAAACACAAAGCATAACCGTGATGTCTTGCATACACATCTGTCAGATCATTGATAGGTATTCTTCTGTCTGGTGACGCTTCCAGAAGGACCAGAAGTTTTTCCGCGAAAATTTGCAAGTGTTTTTCAGGCAGAAGGCTGATATATTTTTCTTTCCTTTCTTCCTTAATCTGTCAAAGTAAGCATACACTTTAAATATCTTGAAAGTATTAAGAGACGATACTTCGTTTCAATTTGAAGGCATGTATGTATGTATATGCAGTACGTGGGAAAAATACACTAGCCCACGGAATAACTCTCCCCTTACTATATAACATAAAAGAAAATTACAAGCGATACTGTACTACACACAGACAATTCCACATAATATCAGATATTACTGTTTGCAATAATCACATTGTTATTATTATTATCATTATCACCATCATACATGTCTTATGACGCTAACAAATAGCGAGTGAGTGAATTAGAACAAGCCTTCTAAATCGAGGTAACACTAAATGACAAGATCTCTTCCATTTCTTGCCTACCGAGCACAAAACAGAGCTCAATACTTCGACAATTAACGTCTCAGTAACGACAGTGTTGTTTCTGTTGGTGGAGGAGCTAGTCGGAAGCCTAGCCATTCACCTATTACAGGCTTACTACCAGCCTGGAGAGGTCTAAGAGGGCGTCAGCTAGACCTACCCCATACTTGACGAGCATTTCACCATGAGATAACATTTCACTTTTGCCAATGCTGCGTTCACACGGAAACTGAGGAATACTACTTTTCTAGTGATAATGCAATCCATGAGGTCTCCCTGGCTTTTGTACCTTTGAACTTCGTGGCTTATAGTTGAACAGTAGAACGGAGAACAATAAAATCTCAATGTACAATAAGACATATTACCATCACCATGCACTCCGATAATAAACGTATTATACACTATGTTCACTGTTACTTAAACTGCTAACTTGACTCTGAATCTTAGTCATCTCTAGATAAGGCTAAGTGCAAAGAATCTGGCTAACATTCCGTTTCATTTGAAAGCCTATGAGAGAGTAAGGATGCCAGATGTGAAACTTTTTACATCCGTCAGAATTTCTGACGTCTATTCTTTATGACGTCAACCCAGAGAAATTCGATTTCATAGTCATCTCTGATCGTCTCTGATTGCTCTAAATAACTTCGGACTCCATTCACCTAGATGGATGATTGGTAAAAGTGCTCAGCTAGAAGAAGTGGACACTAACTGTGTAAGCTTCCTGTCAACAGTGTTTAACAACCAACTGGTCAAGTTGGTTGAAACACTGTCTTTTAGAGATGACAATAATTTCGACTGCAATGTTTGAAAATCGATAACCACACGACTACAAAACGAATAATTCAGCGAAGAGTTTCTTTTTTCCACTTCATTGTGTGTCTATGAATTCACTTGCTCATGTGGAGCAAGATATACAGGGTCATTCGATGCGTGTTTCATCTATAAGAATCAGAAAACACTATCCCGCTTGGCTACGTAAAGGTAACAGTGGATCAATAAGGAGCGCTCTAAGTGAACACATATTCAACACTGGTCACTCAATATGTAAACAGAATTCATTCAAAGTCGTCCAAAAAGTCAAAAGAAGCCTCGTGAAAACGGAAAGCTTCCGTACACTTTGAATACTCGAGACCTTAGCAAGTCGGATGGAAAACCCTGATTTGTGCACACAGAGTAAAATTCTCCATCCTCTCCTTCTACCCTCGGTATAGTTCCAGGTTCGACTACTGTGTTACCAGTACTATTTGTGGATTTTTGTATAGCATTTTAGGAACTTCGTTTTCTTAACCAACTCTGTATTTAATCCATCCGCCAATTACAGAATTTATTTTGGACACTCATCTCCAAGTTCTTTCACTAACATCCTTTTTTCTGTGTGTCTTTCATACTACCTGACCCTTGTCAGTGCTTACTTATTTCCACCCTCCACCACTAGTTACAGTTGGATTATTCATCACATTTTTGAAACATTTTGATGGCGTGTTTCAGGTTTCAATCACCGGCCAACTCACTCATTCACCTCGACAAGCCGGTAACAGGACCGATATACAGGGAAGGTTGGCCATGACGCAGGCAAGCGACCCCACCCCGAAAACATCATCAACACCGCTGCTACTGAAATTTCGAAGCTTCAGCTTGAAGTCCTATGTCCCACTGGGAACAAAAACGAAGAAGAAAAAACATTTTCAACATGCATTCGAGTCGTATGAATGAGGATGTATACACAAAATCAAAAACTTCTTAAACTAAATAAACTTTCTACCTGGATTACGCTGGAAATCGCCTCCAGAAGGTCCGCTAGTTTTGTGAAGCCATAGTCAGATACTCGACACTGTCGACTAAAATGATGGTAATACGATGGAATAAATTTATTAATAGGCAGTCGGCAACGAGGTCTTTGACCGAGAAGATCGATCACTTCATCCGCAAACATTGTGATGCGATACCTTTCCTCACTGGTTTGTACGAGTCTTGGTAATGACACAACTGTGTCCGAACCCGAACCAGTTACTTCCACAACATTGTCAGACAGTTCCGACAGCATATCAGTAAGATAACAGACACCATAATCTGTTATACAGAATTCCTATTTTAGAAAAATAAGATTCAACAGATGTGATTGGTAAATAATAGCTAGTATATGTCGGTAACATTTCATCAAACATATTCACTACCTGATTAGAATACAGCTTTGAAATTGTGAAAGCATTTAGTATGAGAAAAGATGCTGAAGTCATGTTGAGAAAAGACGTCGATATAAACGTTAATTCTCATAACTACAATGTACGCAAACCATGCATGACTGATCACACTAAAGAGAAGAAACCGAACCAATGCATGAATTCAATTAGAGCATATAATGAAATGTGCAAAATGAGAGATAATCAAAACAGTAATAATAATAATAATGATAATATAATACTATAATGAGAATGATGATAGCGTTTTAAGTGAGATTAACAGAGGCTGATGTGTTCTTCAAGTTAACTGAAGTCAGTTGGAATGACCACAATATAAGAAAAGTAGTTGTGAAATACATAATAAAGACTAAAAATGATAATAAATAAATAATAATGCGACATTACTGAGACAAGATGGAATGAATACAGTGTGAGTATTTCTCCTAAAAGGTAGTAAGTATATCTAGTTATGAAGATGGTGAACAATTGAAATTGTTAACAAATATAGAATGAAATACCAGTGATGATTGTGCAATAACAGAGAGATGAATTGTTAAACAGAGAAACATTAATAGGCAAAAAGTAATCTAAAGCAAATGAGCTATAATTGACTGCTTTCTTAAAGTTCACATGGATGCTCATCGTCGGTAATTATGACACACTCAATTTTGTAAACTGTCCTATCCTTGTGGGAACCCTTTAGAAACGACTATCATAGGGCTATTCAATATCTGAACTGCTAAGCAAATAGACTATTCAAAACTTCACCAGACGCTCCACTGCTTTGGTAAAACGCGTCGACGAGACATTTTTCAACTGTGACAAGGATGACTGCATACACTTATTTTGATGCCATTCACATCAGCCAACAGTGTTTAGTAGTTCAGAGAGCCATATCAATTCAACCACATCCACAGTTATGCCTGGCTTCTTGTGAGAACTGGTGACTCCTTCACTTAACTGAATACAGAAGGCTCAGTAGCTGTTGGTCAAATTTACGGTTTGTAAATTTCAAACTCCAAGGTGAAATTTCGCTGCAGTCCCCTATGGAAACCGAAATTATGCAGTTCACGATATGTTATCTCCTTGATATCAATAGTAGCAGTTGAGAAAGCCAAAGTAAAGTCATTGTGGTACCCTGGTGGTTTGAACTGATTTGGCTGTTTCAGCTCACATCGCTGATGAGCTTCGACCCACGACAGCGAAATGGCCGTCCACTATCTAGATCACTTCAGTCTGACTGGTAAGCACCACTGACAGGTGTTGGTGGTATCCTACTCTCATATAAACCAGTAGTGTGCACCGTCACACATCTATACTTCCTTTCTAGATTGCAATTTGTGATATCAAGCAGGTCGCCTAACTTGACCTCAGTAATTTCGGTTTCCAAAGGAAACTCTGGTGAAACTTCAGCTCGAACTGTGTAATTTGTAGAGTGCAAGATTCACTAACCGTCAGTGAGCTTTCTGGATCCACTTTAGTAAAGAAGTCACAGTCAACTATCCTATGCTTTAATTTGTCTCCCGCAGGACACAGTATGAATTCGTCAACAAAGCTAGAACGATAAATGCACCAGGATGATCTTTCGATAAAACTGCATAATGTAGATTTGGTGATCTACGATATTGACTAACAATATCGGCAAGTCGAGACTTAAACCAACCTTGTCTCTCGCCATCCACTGCTTTCAATGCAGACGGTTGATGATGCACACTTTCGAGTTGGGTTTCAACGTCAATTTTGCTGGTAAATTTCGTCAGAATGTAGAACCTGAATCCTAGTGAAAGCACTTATCTTTCTATCTGCCTCAGCTTATGACTTCAGTTGACAAGTTGAATACGAAGTTTTCGGGATTCCCCGGAATACCTGCACATGATTTTCCCTTAACGGAGTCCCACAGAGTTTTCTCAGATTTTCTCCTTGTTTCGGCGCGAACCTCTCAGGCGTAACTGACAGACCAAATACTTATTATTCACAATATGATCAAAGCCACAAGTTTCTTTCTTCACTTGAGAAATAAGGTGTAGGTCTCCAGTGTACTCGATTACAGATTTCTTTCAACAGAGAGAATTGCATGAAGTTGTTGAAGAAACAGTACAAAAGTGTCTCGAATATAAATCTATAGAAATCCACTTGTAGTGTATGGGTGAGCGCAACTCAGTGTTGATGCTCACCACCACTTATTTCGGCCTTGTCCTGTATGAACCATCTGTAAATGGGGACCGACTCCATGCTAGAGTGAATGAGTAAGAACATTGTTACTTCCCCCTTTGACGATGTCTGATAGGGGACTTCGTTATCGTCATACTTCAAGTCTTCTGGCGTCAATTATGAAGTGTGTCTTCAGCAGATTATTAACAACCAAGGAGAAACATTTTATAATTAAGTAACTTACTTTGCGGTAAGTGCGTTCATACATTGTCGGATAATCAGATAAATGACAACACTTTGTCGGCTGAGATTTAAGCACTTTGATCAGTTCATTGGTGAACCGTCGGACTTGCACACGGTGAGATAGTGTCACCATCTTCATATTTCCCGAACCGATAATCTGAACAACATCAGACAAAGCGCTCAGTAGTTCGCGCAATTTAGCAAAGCCATAATCAGCTACTCGGAATTGTTCGCCAAAGTAGTCATGATAACTAGACATAAATTTGCTCAGTAGTATTTGACATCCTGGTTGATGCTTTATTAGTTCAACCACCTTCCGTCTGAGTAGTTTCAGATGGTCAAGGTCAGTAACTGACTGTACACGCTGAGGACTCTGCGGCAAAGAACTCAATAAGCTGACAGAGTGACCGCAATTCATAACTCCTAAAAAATAAATTATGAGATTCATAGTTATTAGTTCTAGGTGACCGAAATGTTGCTATTTTCAACAAGGACAACTGATGACTGATATGCTAACTAACGGTTAAGCAAGCAAATTGACTGAATTCTTTTCATCTTTCCTGCTTTTCGTATATACAAGTGAGTTACCACTCTGTGAGCATGTGACGTCCCACAGATACTTGAGCGTTGTATATTGTAAGATCTCGATTAATATGCTTCTTAGTCACCAGTAAAGGAGTTCAACACTTCAGTTTCTTCCTACTTGAGACTGGACTCCATACGACAAAATACACACGTCACTGCACTAACAACCGAAAAGATTTGTGGTCTAGTATTAGCTCTAAGCCTGCAAGTTCGTCGGGACCAGCTGGAGAATTTTCTATAAAGCGTAGGGGTCATTTCGAAGATTCACCGAATGGATTAGGTTAATTAAAGAGATCGACTACATTTGAACCTCGTGTGCGTCTCAAAGATTCGAAATAAGTCCACATAGCGACATGTAAGAGTTTTGGTCAATCATGCTTGTTGTTCACGTTTGGTAGGCAGGTGAAAGTGTGTAGACATACGCACACACACACACACACACCGAGTAATTTGACTTCTTCTTGGATTTCCCAAAATGTAGACAGAATTAGTCTCGCCAAACTACACACCAGAAAGTACGCTTTCCAGTATGTATCAACTTGTCGACAAAAGCAAGGATTACAGATAGTCTTTTGCTAGAACATCTTACCAGCGACTGTGAGCAGACACAGGGTAGACCTGGTGCGGATATTAACCGGTGGACGTGTCGGATAGACGAAATATGTAAACTTGACTACCAAGTCCAGGTAACCCATTCTCAGCTGAGACATAAATCTTGTATTAAAACTTGTATTACTGCCTCTTAAATTCTCAAAATCAGAATTCATTTCCTACTATTTCGATGTGCTAGATAGTTGAATTCCTCTCGAACTGCTGAAGGCTGGTACTGGTAAATAGGGCAGTATATTCAGGTTTGAAGCAATTTCAGTCTGATTTTGGCTTGGAATCTGAAATATACTACACTGCACACACCTCAGAATTTTATGATACTGTCACCTCTATATCCACAAATGTGAGTAGATCAAAAATATTTCAAAATTTACTTTGTTTCTTATGAAAGCACCAGGGGAATCTTGATAGATGCTACAAAATACTATTAACAGAATAAATATGTTTATCCAAAATGATCATTACTTTGAATTCACCGTTTAGTTCAGTTGATTAAGAGGAATGAACTGTACTTTTTCACCTGAAAAATTTACCCAAAACAAATGCTTGACGGTCAACATAGGTCAAAGGAGAGTAACTTAAGTGAAGACCACGGAGACCCGTCTATCACTAAACGTAACACTAACAGTATGGTGCCTAATGAATCGGGATAGGATTTTTAACACATTATCATAGGCTTAAGCATGCGAAATATCCCGCAAATTCTCCATAAAACTGTTCTACTGAAGTAGAATTTGCGGAAATACCGACTAAATATATGCATTGTCGCACGTCCTTTGGTCAATTAACTTTCAAACCAATATTAAAGCCAATGCTTGGTGTCCGGTGAGTCAGACGGGCTTACGCGTGGACTTCAGGCGAGAAAAGCAGTAAATAATGTAATGTCACTGTTCGGCGTGTCCAGTAAACAATCTTATTTCGAACCTCCTTCTAGTAGAAAATAAGTCCGTTTCAAATAAGGTGCACATGTGACACCTAAATCTTACATGAAAGCATACCTATGGAGCCTTAGTGCACAAATGCAATCCATATAGTCTGGGAATTCGCTAACGTCCACGACAAGAAATTAGTCTCTGAAATAAAAACTAAGATAACTCGATTGACTGAAGTGATGCTTTGCGCTATCCTAATCACCATGTAAAAAATTAGATGGCCTCAGCCGCCTTCTACAGAAAAATTAGTCCTCAGTAATCACAAGGTATACATAACTGGCATATTAAGAAAAGCACTGGAGTGAACAACTTTACTGTCTAAAGCTGACTATTCAGGTTCACAGCAAACAATATTCAGACAAAAAGGGGAATAGCAACATAATACTGTAAAGTTTAGGCATGTCATACAGATAGAGATAATTAAGAAGGGAATATATAACTTGAACTGATCAGTAGTTACCCAGTTGACTCACGAGAGTCAGTCAATAAAGAACTGGGGAGTAAAAGTCGAGATGAAGCTAAACGTAATCAGAGGATAAACTTAAGAGAAAAACTGGAGACAACAACTGTTACTACTACAGCTATCATTATAGACTAATGAAGTTCAGTAGGAAAAAGAATATTTAAGAATGTGTTGTACTCAGATGAACTGTGTGAAAACCCGCTTTTCAAAACTGGATTACGAAGCTTATTTCAGGATGTCTACACACTCAAGTGTGTCCAACAACTCAAATTTAAGATGACGCTGTAGAGATTTGTAATGCAGAGACAGGTATAATGTTGACAAAATGTCTTTAATATGGTCCCACATCCCCCTTTCAGATTTCTTCTGACGAATGTAACACATATTACTCAACAACTCATATCACTGCCTTTCCAGAATGCACCACACATTTGTTAGCTGTTTAGACAGGCTCCATCGGCGCGCATGTGCCCACGTTTCCAGATTGTATTCCCTCCTCTATCGATTGCCATAAATTTACAGGTTTCAAACTGTAAGCTAGTTGTGTCGAGAGCATACTTAAAATCCTTTAAGAAAAAGACCACCGTTTTACGAGTGAGAAATAGACCTTCATAGTGTGTTAAGTGGAGAATTACCGACAGATTCATACCTGAAGAAGATGGACTAGTTAGTGGGAAGCTGCTTAGGCTAACTGAATAGTAAAATTGAAGTAAATCTTCCAGTCTCTCTGTGAAAAGAATCATTCTCCAAGTTGAGCGTAACGACACTTTTGTGACAGAATATGTTACCTCATGATTATTCCTTATGGAAAAGAAATATTACTTAGATGAATGATATTCAGACCGTGTCAGAATAACTATGTTCAGTATGAGGGCGGCGCGATCATTATTTCTTATGTCCTTCCGAATTTTGAAATCTCGCTTGTGAATTAGGAATAAGGGAAATTAGAGAGATTAGCAATATATACCTCACACAAATTAAAGATGCGCAAGTTTACGACGATTTTGCTCAAATGCATCGAAACACCACTATTTATCCAGAGGTGCGAACCCTCTCAAAATGTCCTAGATGTAGAAGTTATCTTGCACCATGTTTACTCGAAATGCCACAAAATTGTACATTCGGGTTACGTGAGTACCGAAAATCATGATATGACTGAAGACGACAATTGTTTGTGTTACAGCTGTAATACTTACACGAAACAACACATTTCACCACTTCAGCATGTAGTACCCCTATACCAACTGTAAACATGCTTTTTAATCTAATTTGTATACTTGTATTGTATGTGTACACAGACCGATTTTATATGTACTTCGCAAACATTTGTCAATTTACTGTTGAAAATTACCCTGACACAATTTCGAAATTTGACTACTGCCATAATACACAATCGTACTCTTCGCAAGTGCCTTTTGATTTACGTTGTGGGCGTCGAGTATCCACAACGTCTGCACACATTAATAAAAGTGGAGAAGTACTAGAATATACGTGTACGCCAGTTTAGTCAATTAACGCATGCAACAAATTGGTGAGCCCATATTATCATAGGCTAAAGCTTACGAAATATCCCGCAAATTCTCCATAAAACTGTTCTACTGAAGTAGAATTTGCGGAAATACCGACTAAATATATGCATTGTCGCACGTCCTTTGGTCAATTAACTTTCAAACCAATATTAAAGCCAATGCTTGGTGTCCGGTGAGTCAGACGGGCTTACGCGTGGACTTCAGGCGAGAAAAGCAGTAAATAATGTAATGTCACTGTTCGGCGTGTCCAGTAAACAATCTTATTTCGAACCTCCTTCTAGTAGAAAATAAGTCCGTTTCAAATAAGGTGCACATGTGACACCTAAATCTTACATGAAAGCATACCTATGGAGCCTTAGTGCACAAATGCAATCCATATAGTCTGGGAATTCGCTAACGTCCACGACAAGAAATTAGTCTCTGAAATAAAAACTAAGATAACTCGATTGACTGAAGTGATGCTTTGCGCTATCGTAATCACCATGTAAAAAATTAGATGGCCTCAGCCGCCTTCTACAGAAAAATTAGTCCTCAGTAATCACAAGGTATACATAACTGGCATATTAAGAAAAGCACTGGAGTGAACAACTTTACTGTCTAAAGCTGACTATTCAGGTTCACAGCAAACAATATTCAGACAAAAAGGGGAATAGCAACATAATACTGTAAAGTTTAGGCATGTCATACAGATAGAGATAATTAAGAAGGGAATATATAACTTGAACTGATCAGTAGTTACCCAGTTGACTCACGAGAGTCAGTCAATAAAGAACTGGGGAGTAAAAGTCGAGATGAAGCTAAACGTAATCAGAGGATAAACTTAAGAGAAAAACTGGAGACAACAACTGTTACTACTACAGCTATCATTATAGACTAATGAAGTTCAGTAGCCAAGATGATACTTCCCGATTTCAGATTCGAGGCTGGTGAATATCTAGTAGATGAAACTTCTTGTAGCGTCGTAAACGTGCTAAGTGACATGCAAATCACTTTACCAAGTTGGTTTCTTAGTATTTCATGTGATGACTATTTGATAAGGTAATGCTGCGGGCGCTCTGTTGTCCCATGAGATACGTTCCGATAAGGCAAAAGAACGCAATTCAAAGGCAGAACTTAGGACGACTGCCTTAAAGCTTGTGATGACCACTAAAACATCCATTGTTGATTGTGGAAAGATTATGCGATTGTTCAAACGGCATATTCCAAGATTACCAACAAATATAAGACACATTCTCAAAACTAGCCAGTCATGCCCCTCAACTGTTATTGGTAGTGAAGTTTACTATCATATTGGTTTGCGAAGTATACTTACGCCTATACTGAGTTGTTGGTGTCAGTTTGCATCTTTTGATTGCGTTAATCTGCAGCTGAATGTTGATGGATTGTCACTGTTTAACAATGGTACACAGCAAATTTGGCCGATATCGGGTCGACTGGTGAAACCGTTTCTTAGTGATATATTTCTTATTGGAGTTTATGGTGGTTTTCATAAACCGTCTGACTTCAATAACTTTTTATTGCCAGTTGTAACTGACATGGAGCACTTATATGCACATGGTTTACAAATCAATGAGAGGCATATCGGCTTCCGGCTTAACAGTGTTATCTGCGATAAGCCTGCAAGATCTGACGTCACTTTTACAGCGAGTCACAACAGTAGGAAAGGTTGTGACAGATGTTGCGTTACTGGCAACTATGTAAACCGGCGCATGGTATTTAAGGATGTTAACAGCTGTCGCAGGACAGATAATAGCTTTAGGAGTAAGGAAGATGCCGATTACCACCGTGATACATCAGTATTTCAGAGACTTCCAATTGATATGGTTAAGATTTTTCCATTAGATTATATGCATTTAGTCTGCTTAGGTGTTGTTAGGCGGCAATTGGGTATATGGTTGCGTTCGGCGAAACAACGCCAATTCGGATTAAGCAATGAAACAATTGCTTGTATTAACGAAAGACTACAGGCTGCAGAAAGCTGAATTCCTAAGGACTTCCAAAGGAAGTGTCGCAGCTTGGAGTTTCTTCAGTTTTGGAAGGCCACTAAATGCCGGCTATTTCTTATGTATTTGGGCCCAGTTGTATTACATGATCCATTACCCTCTCCACTATACGCAAACTTCCTCAGATTGTTCACGAGTGTCTACATTTTATGTCATCCTCGTTACCACCTTCAATTGTGCGACACCGTAAAACAACAGCTCAGGCAGTATGTACTATGTTTCGACAGCCTCTACCCTGATGAGTTGGTTTACAATGTGCATGCTCTTCAGCATTTAGCTGAGGACGTCTCTGAACACGGTTGTCTGGATACCTTTTCAGCCTTCCCGTATGAGTCACATTTGTGCCAAATCAAGGGAAGGGTGAGGAGTGGCTTGAGGGTAGCAAAACAAGTAGCCTCTCGAGAAGTCGAAAGATGCGTGTTTGCAAGCTCTACAAATGCAGGTAAGTCACCTGCTGAGCTAACCCCGCCATGCGTTACAGTTGATTTAGCAAAGCAGTCATTTTGTGTTGGCAAGACTTACTATTCAACTGTTTCGCCTGACCGATTCGTAGTAGTAAATGGAGGACCTGGGATTATCTGTGGTGTGGGTGAGGGCAATGTATTCAAATTCAGACCTTGTTTGGATAAGCAACCATTTTTTAACAAGCCTTTCGAATCAACGAAGCTTGATATATACAAATCAGGCCAGTTCTCAGGCAACACTGAATGGGTTGCAATTAACACAATTAAATATAAATGCATTGCAATACCCACAAATCACTTCAACGTTTTCATCCCAATGCCTCACACATCGGCTAGATAAGCTGTTGCCATTGTTAATTTGTGTTGTTCCATTGGCGTCGGTTGCAGTTAATGTGGTTCATAGGTAAGAGCCGACATGATCGACAAAGTGGGTTGGGTTTGCTAGCGTATCAGTTTGAGTTTAGACTCTCTATGCATTCCAGTAGGAGCCTTTTAAGGTATTTCATTCTTCATTCACTAATGTACCGTTCCTTTCAGAATAAATGGGCAAATACCGTATTGCACTGGTTGATGGGAAAAATGAGGCAGTGATATGCCGAAGCTCTTGGTTTCTTGGACCTAAGCTTGTTGTCTGCAGCCAAGACAATTGGGATAATGCCTATGAGGAGGAGTACCCCAAGATTGATTGGAAGATGGAGAATTGTGAGGTGATTTTTGAGACAGGTTAGTCGTATCGACACTTAACTATTTATCCAGATGACTTGCAAGAGGCGCTCGCAAAGCACAAGGCCCTTCAAAGAACATATAGCACTGCCAATTGCAGTCAGTCGTCCAAGTCGACTGTAGTTTGCACGCAAAAGCGTCAAAAAACGTAAGCATCGTTTCATACTTGATTGAATAAATAGAGCACCGAAAAATGACGTTTTCGTAAGTAACGACTACCCATCTGACCTGATGGACAAGCAGTGCAATGTCTTCGAGGACCCCGATTACGCAGACCTCGATAGCAGTGCATGTGATTCAAAAAAGAATATAAGGTATGACAGATATTCAACCTTACATTACAATGAAGTAGTTTTGGATTACTGCCGAAGAGTTCTTCACACATGTTGGCTGCTACAAGTACACCTATTACGTAAGTAATATCGAATTTAATAGCCATTTGTTCTCAGGTCGCCCAAGGATAGTAATGTTAAGCGGCCTAGGACGGATTCTGATAATATAGTAGCAGGTGCGGTTCATTCTTGTTTTATGTTTATCCCATAATTATTTAACAGTTTGTCTTCAAAAACTATGTGAAACGCAGGCGCAATTAATCAAACGTGTTGACTTCGCGTTGGCAACTTTCAGTGGTTGCACAGCTGGCGATAGCGAAAGCGATGTCAGGCTCCCGGTGAAAACATTTGCTATGCTGGAAGTTTTTGAGCGAAAACTTAAAAACAGAAAGTATTTCGAGGAAATAGTAAGAAATTCCATCCAAGTTTGTTTAATTGATTCGTTTCAGATGTGCCAATTCTCATTCAAGGTGCATAATAACCCAACCAGCTCAGCGCGCCGGTTGCTGAGCACAGTCCTAAATAAAAACCTAGCAAGATTGATGAGTTATAAGGGGACTGCTGATAAGACTGGTATCCGTGACTTCACGTTTTTCCAGCTTATAATTGGTATGTTGGCTTTTTGAAATAATAAAATTGCATACTCAAAAAATTCAGATGTCATCACTCGTAAGCAATTACAACTCGGGTCCACCGAGGAGGAAACAATGGAAGCGATTGTAAAAGCCACTAAAACTTGGTGCCATGACCAGCGTGTTCGGAAGAAAAGGGATTTATCACCAGAAGAGGTAGTTTTTAATAAAAGTGTTACCAGTTTTTCTGCACTCAATGGGAATTGACGCGTATTTAAATGATTCTCTCTTTCCTTCATTACAGATGTCTGCTGAAGTCATTCAACCTGGGACCAGCAAATCGCCGTCTTCAGAATAATTTATGAAGTCATTTTTTATAAATTTTTTCAAAATATTACTGTTTTATAAATCCGATATTTTACTGTATAAAATATAAAATTACTCCACTCCATTGGCCTTCGTTTATATCAGTAGCATAACCCTTAAATGTAGTGAAAGAATCGTAAGGCAGTGGTCGCTAAGTTCGTAGCTTTGGTAAGTTCGATTGCATTAGTTACTATAAAGGATGACAGTGTTTAAGCACTTTCTTAGGCCATTAGTAGGACGCTAAGTAATTCTAATAATACGTGCGCTTGCCTAGGAAAAGTGAGGGCTTCTTTTCGTCACGAAAATAGCAGTAGTGGATGAACAGGTCGTTTAAAAAGTGGGCAATTTGTTCGTTGAAAAGGTGGGAAAACGGGGATAAAGTGAGAAATGTGGCCAAAGTGGGTAAAATCGGTTGCATTTACACCATCTTTCGCCGATCAAAATTACCCTTTTATCCCGCGTTTTGCCCACTTTTCCCATGTGAATTAACCGACTGGGGACGATTTATTTCCATCCCATTGAGTTTTATCCAAGGCATGCGAATCAGCTATAGCTGACTATCCCAGTGCGTTTACTAGAGTGGTTGACATATTATTGCTTCACTACACCTTTTTACCAACTTTAGCGTGTTTTACTAACTTCATCATAGTTTACCAATAAAAATCAACTCACAGTGTTAGATCCGCGACAGTTAGCAGTGTGTTGAATTAACGCCTTATCCAATCATTTACCGACACTAGTGCGAACTAACAAACTCCAATGACCTTCGGATTTTCAGAATTGATGTTATTTCCGTCTGTATTATGCCTAAAACCGGTTGATTTATTAGGGAATTTTACTAGTTTCCAATGCTATGTGGAGAATAAGTCTCAAGGTACAGATGATCCAATATCCAATATCGTTTTTACGAGCTAGAGTAAACCAATTCGATTTCTTGGTCCTCACCTCTTGATTGTGAGGCATAGGTTCCTGATCTTCGGTAAACTTCTGCGTATCTCGTCCCAACACTCAACTGTCTCAGCTTTGGCTGACTCCAAACGAAGTAGTGCTGGGATTAATTATATGCGGATTGTAGTATGAGGTGTGTTAGGACTCTTACTACTGTGACTGGAGTTGATCCTTCCACCAGTTAGTCCTCTGGTATCGTCGTCGAAAAAAAAGAGATAATAATAATAGATATAATTAGTGAAGTTATTCAGACTAACAGACAGAAAAAGAAAAAAGAAAACGTACCAACAGTCAGCTGATTAAATTTGACGTTGATATAAATATATATCGGTCATAATAATAATAGTAAGTGTTGTTAGACTTGTTAGGAGAGAATGGAGAGATGTAAAACGAAAAAACTTTTTGTCTACCCTCTGAATAGTGTAAGAGATTTTAAGGGGATAGGTCATTTGGATCCAGTCCTTTTGTAACTCCATGATTGCCCAACCTTCACATAAATGTGTCCACAGAGGGTGCTATGGCTACACTTGCTGGTTAGGAATTCCATGGACGTCAAACCCGCAGTGAAAAGAAGTGAGAGCGCACCTGGATCCTTGCCCTCTGGTGAGCTATCCCTCTGGGATTTCCACGAAAATGCCTATACCTACTCAATGGCAGAACACCCCCAAAGCCATCTGTAGCTAAGTGTGGATAGGCTTAATTTCTTCAGCCATTCATCATATGGTTTATTTCGTAGATTTACCACTACTTTTGTCGACTGTCCCTGAATTCTTTCCAAGAGGCTAACATCTCTTCTAAGCAGTGAGGGTGCAATGATATTATGCACTTCAAGGTGTGGTCTGACATATGTTTCGTACAACCTTAGAAAGAGCTCAAGGGTCTGTGTGTAATGTGTATGACAGCATGTGCCCTCGCTACATCCCTCATAGAATTTACACTTGTGCCCAATTTTCCGTTAGAACTAGATCTAGGCTGTGCTCCATTGTTCTGCAGGAGAAGCTTCCATTGCACAGGGTGTAACTTGCATTCTGCAATCTACAGGTGCGTAATTTCACTTTTTCAGGTTGAAAGTTATATCATTGGTCACCGCCCAGCCTTTCACAAGCTTTAGATTTTCCTGCAGCCTAGCTGAGTCCTCCGGACACTTTATCGCCCTCCATATTTTTACGTCGTCAGCGTATGGAAGAATCGCGTAGCTTAGACGGCATGGCAGATCATTGATAAAAATCAAAAACATCAGTGGTCCTAGGATAGGACCCTGCGACACTCCTGATGACGAGCTGTGCCAAGATGATCGGACTCGGTTAACCTCAGCGCGAAATCGCCTGTCAGCTAGGTAGTCCATTAACCATGACAGAAATGGCTCACCTATACCTGCCTGGCTTATTTTATGTAGGAGTAGGTCATGGTGAACGGTGTCAAATGCCCTCTCAAAGACTAGGAAGACCGCATCGACTGGAATATTCATCATCAGCAACGGCGGTGAGACAAGCCTTCATCACACATAAATTGGGATGAGATCCGTTACCTGCCACCAATTACGATCACCGAAACAGAACAGAAATACTAATGCCTACTAATGGACACATGGAAAACACGAAACCGTGGGACGATGATATGGACCAAGGTAGCATATTGCTCGTTATGAATAGATCTAACTAAACCTTAAGAACCAAAGCAGCAGTAGTAGTGCCACATTATAATCGGTAACAAAACAGAACAATTACGCAGGTCTCTGAACCGGTTGCAGATTAGCATCACACAAATATGTTAAGAAAACACCTCAATATAACGCTACCTGGAACGGATTTTCAATACATCAGACTATGAGCTGAACTTATTATGTGACAGCTGGTGAAACTACCAAGTTGCCTGTGCTCAAATAGGTGGAGTTGCTTAGATCCAAAGACCCATTGCTCAGATCATTGAGCCAAATTAGAAGTAGTGGATAACTCGTCAAAGAACTCAATACAGTTACATATCTAGCTTTATCAAGATAAGATTATAGGTTTAGCTTTCAAACACACCAACAGGAAAGAAGCGAAAATGTAACTGACTAAACTTTCAAGTCTATATGGATGAACGTTTGAGGAGAAAACCCTTATGCAAATACGTAAACTATTCTAAAACATACACGTTTACCTATGATACCCTTGACAATTTTTAGTACGAACAGATCATGAACGCATCACCTTACTGTAGTCTGATATCACTTCAAGAATTTCGAAATCCTTGGACTTTACATTTTCATTCTTTACTACACAGTCAAATGTCCTCCAACTGAAATCATTACTAAAATAATTTGTGATATCAAAAAAATATTTCTTAATTAGACAATGAGGAACGAAATAGAATTAAAAAGACTACTTACTCGTTCTTGTGGTCGACTACTTTCGCTGGAAACCTGAAATCAACACAAATCTAAAACATGAACATCTTTACCTCACATCTTTGCCTTCCCACAACCTGCGACGTTGACGTCTGAGTCGACTGACATACAGTCTAATAAGTGATTGAATTCAAAACACACGCTTACGTTGCAGACAAGATTCTCCTTATCACGAACTAAGTCTTTCAAAACTAGATATCTTTTCTGATCCTGAAGAAAATATAATCGAGACAAACAGATCTCATACCGAGTCATATTCAATTACAGCGATCGAAGCAACTATTTTCTTTATACAACTTCTGGGTTCTAGAAATAAAATTTCAAATCAAAACAGTTAATAGCCATTCAATAGCGGAAAGAAGTGGCTTGAAATAATTAGAACTATAAATTTTACCAACATATCTAGGACACTTAATTCTTTTTGAATAACCGTATTTTCAGTCATGAAATACAAGATTGACAATAGGAATTGACAGCGCATTCGAGGACTGTTTGAGACACGTGTACAGGCTGGTTGATGTTAATCTCACCTCCCCAGTTATTACATGGGATATTAAGATCACCTACTATCAGACACCTATTTTTACAACTCCACACCTTAAAGTGGCTGACTTGGAAGTCATCAGCTTGGCAGACAGGACTAAAATAAATGACCTCCATCAGTTCAGATTCATGTGAACCTAGGAATCATAAGTCACGACTTAAAAGCCACAGCACTGTCGCTCAGTGGCAGCTGGTAATTTCAGATCTTTATGGGCAATACGCAGGGCATTTGCTAGAATCACCAGAGATATGTTTACTTCCTTTCATACATCTTTGATGAGGTCAAGAGTGGAAAACTGTATCCAGGTGGCCAGTCCTTCTCTTAAGGGGAACTCACACAGTCTAGAAAGGGTTCAAAGGAAGGCAATACATATGATTTTTGGCACCACCAGTTTATCATAAGACGAAAGACTAGATAGTTTGAATCCTTTCTCCCTGACATACAGCAGCCAGAGATCTCATTACAATGTTTAAGATTTTAGATAACGACTTCAATTTACTCTCTTCCTTTCCACAAGATGTAAACACCTCAGATGGCATAGAAATAGGGTTCAAAAGTCAAGGAAAGACTGCAGACATCACTGTGGGGTACTGGTCCTCTAATAAACTCGTGGAAATGACTCCCAAAGGAAGTTGTGTTAGCGCCATCAATTGATTTGCTCAAAAGGCTTTAAGATAAGCACAGAAATTTACCAGAAGAGGGTTAAGATGGGATTTGAAACTTATATCTCCAATCTAAAAATCTGCAATCGCAGACTGCTGTAGTACTCTTATTAAGGTTGATAATACAGCTTAATCAGAAAACCCGGATCTCCAACATACCTTGACTCAACTCACTATCCTCTTTTATAAATTTCAGTAACTGTTCGCTTGAAACACTGCCACCATAATCCTTAAAGGCTTGAACAAGCTTTGACCTCGAATCCATAGTTTTTTGAACAGTGCTCTAAGGTCAGTGTCACCCTAATTCCACAGCTGTTTAGGTCAATTGCAGCCTTCAACCTACTTTAACAAAAATAAGGATGTGATATTTTCTCACTTAATCCTCATCTGAATACCAATCAATTTCTTGTAGATTCTTTTGCTGTACCAATAAAACTATAAGCTTGTAACCTTCAAACATAGAAGTGACGATATGGAATTGAGCCTTCTTGACTTCAAATCCTTCTGCTACAGGATTTGTAAACCAAAAATTCGTAATCGCTACCGCGCGAACTTTGAAAAGGGAGTTAATTCTCACGCTCTATTATATAATTGGCTTTTGTTGTGTTATACGCTCCAAAAGTCCACAGATTTAACTTAAAATCAGTTTATTCTGATCGAAGTTAGTTTACGTTTCAGATTTGAGTCTATTAATTATAGGAAGTTGTGTTCTTATAAAATAATAGCTACATATATCCATCCTTGTCCACTCATCAGCTTTCTCAGTCACGTCTCGTAAACCGTTAATGCCCAGCTCTTTCTACGCTGGGACTCACGCTGTTCCTTGAAGTCTTCAGAAACGCTTAGTAATAATGGACGCAAAAACCAGAACACGGATTGGTTACTCGAGAATTCTTTATTGTAACACCAACATATAAAAAATAATTTCACTAAGGTCTGTGAACAAATATTACAATAATAAATTACAATATTACTTCTGACGGTGTTTTAATCTTCTTTCTGAACAGCAACCGATGAGACGATGACTGTCGTATTGATGCCTCCGCGAAAATTTGGGAAGTTGGTTTTGAGCAAACAACCATGAATTGATCGTTCAATCTTCAACTCCATTGACAAGCTTTAATCACTGATTTATAAAGGTTGCATATATATGAAGTTATATTTAATTTTTCCTGGTTTGATTTAAATAAAATGCCTATCAAAAGAAACCGCTGCGGAAGCGCTATTTGCCAGTTTTCAGTGGATCAGGGAATGCAGTGTGATAACTGCAAGAGATGGTTTCACAGTATGTGCACGAACCTTACTCCAGCAGCATACAAACGCTGCTGCAAACCTCTAGCGAACTGGTTATGCAACGACTGCTGTAGTACAACTAAACTCCGTATTACAGAAGCCATAGCTACTCTTAGTGGGGCTTTAAAGCTCATGGACTGCAAGCGTCCTCCACCACAGAAGAATACCGACTATTGCTCAGATAGCGATGACGTCACTAGCGTCATTGACAAAACAGCACATGTCCCAGATGCGACCTTGCCAATAAGTGAGTGCTCTACAGCACAGAAGAACACCCACCATATTACAGATACCCAGGTCGCCCCCACGATACTGGATGAGCCCTCCAGTGACAGTAATGGAAAGACTGCCGTGAAGAAGAGGCGTACTAGGGGTCGAAAACCTGCAGCTCCAGTCGCCCAGGGACTGGCGGAACAAGCCTCATCCACACCGGTGAGCAGCAGACAGACGAACCCCACTAAGATTAGCGAGGAGGACGCCAATGAATGGCGCACTGTGATCTCTCGCAAAAAGCGAGATAAGGACAACACTTCGGCCACACCGCCCAAGAAGGATGGAAACGCACTTACGCCTCAGGGCAAGAAAGTCACGGAAAGCAAACCCGATCTCTCTGATAGGTCTCTCATTCTCCACAAAGTGGAGGAGTCACTGGCTCTCGACCCTAAGACCAGATTCGAGCATGACCTTAACTTGGTCAAGCCCCTTTTAGACAAGCTACTGCCACAAACAGTATCAGGCATTACTATACACAGCGTATACAGAATAGGCCAAAAGCCTCAACCTACAGTAAGTCAGCCTGTCAGTCTCGTCTCATAAACCGTTAATGCCCAGCTCTCGCTACGCTCGGGCCCACGCTGTTCCTTTGAGTTTCAGAAACGCTTAGTAATAACGGACGCAAAAGCCAAAACACCGATCTGCTGCTTGGTATTTCTTTATTGTTACACCAACATATGAAAGGAATAAACGAACTAAGGTTTCTGACGATGTTTCACTCTTCTTTCTGAACAGCGACCGATGAGACGATGACTGTCGTATTGATGCCTCCGCGAAAATCGGGGAAGTTGATTTTGAGCAAACAACCAAGAATTGATCGTTCAATCTTCAACTCCATTGACACTCCCCGGCAAAAATGGGATCCAACCCTTTTTTCCATCACGACCAATGCACGTCGACTTGGATGCCATTGCGAGAACCTGGGTCACACGGACAGAGCTGAAATGGAAAACAAACGGAAAAGCCAACACACCACAAGCATACCCACAGCACAATCTCACACATCGCTGACGACCTGCGCCTCCAGACAGAGACCTCCTCTTGACATCTTGCAACACAATCGCCATTTGCTAGAATGACTCTTGCAGAATGCAAAGTGACCATGGCAGGACCTCACGATACTCTACGCTCATCCTCTTATCTACTCACTACCAATTACCACTGAAATCGCTTGTCACTCATTCTGCCTCAGTTCTAATAGCGGTGACGCATGCGAGCCTCAGTCGTTTACACTCCCTCTCCCCGGCGTGTCGGACCGCAGCTAACAATTATCTCCGTGTGCATTTCATTCTCAGCAATAGCCTAGCCTCCCCGGCGTATACGCCCCATCTGCTGTCCTTAACATCAATCAATTCATTCATGGATGTAGAAGACTCGAAACAACTTCAGAAGTAATCACGACGAAAATTTTAACAAAATCACGCAATAACAACAAGATACGAAAACAACAAGTAAACACAATGAATCCAAAAACACCAATTGATATGACACACCACACGTATATACAAATAGTACAAACAATCTCGCCGATCATGTCTTGATGGAATTCCTTTGAAGAATTGCAGGACTTACACCAGTACGCCTACAACCCTTCTTAGGTTGACGATTGTAATTTGTGGAATGTACGGACACAAACAAGATTAACCAACAATTACAATAATTGGAACTCACAACTATTTAACACAAACATATGTACAATCAACACATCAAATGTTGTGGATTCTGACATGACAAACTACCCTTGAAGAACTGTAGGACTTACAGCAGTACGCCTACATTCCTTCTCAGGTTGATGATCCAAGTGGAAGTCGTCCGGACACAAACAGAATTACCAACAGCTAGATGACAGATGATATCAATTCAGTATATACAATATGAACATATGTACAAAATCACACACCAAGCACATTGGACTGCTCATTGATGCGCTACCCTTTGAAGAATTGTAGGACTTACAGCAGTACGCCTACAACCCTTCTCAGGTTGACTCTCTAGGTTGGAAAATCGTCGCAGAGTTCATTTGCTGACTTCCCTCTATGAGCTATATCCTCAAATCTGAACGGCAACACGCCCATGTCATTGTATCGTAGAATATAGATGACGAACAAACACACGACATATCTCATCAACCAAGTATAGAAACAGAGTAATTTACACCAAAGATAATAACATTCAAATAGTAACTTGAAACTAGAAATGCCTTTATTCGTGCAAGTCAATTTAACAATAACTCTCTCCTTTACACTTGGCTTATCCACACTAAACTGACCATTGATATTCGTCCTTTCAAAAGAACTGATACTACCATAGTCATTGCACAAGATACTTGAGTTGATGGGTGTCTGTTTCATTGTGGATGAAAACACCAACGATGACTGAGTGATATCAGTTGATGAAGTTAGCGGTGGATCAGAAGCTGTTGTTGCTCGACTTTCAGAAATTTGCCTACCTGCAAGACCACCACCACTGCTGTCTATTACCATCAGCTCAAACTTAGCACTGGCATCTGATGATAGGTGGGCTACATGCTGATCAATCACACTGACGGTCTCACAAGTATGCACACATTCTGGAACTGAATCTGCATTTATTTCTACTTCACGTTCAAGTTGTACAGAACCTTTGTTCAACTTACCAGTAGTAGGCATATCCCTCATTTCATCATGATCAACCAAAGACAAATCTGCACTATCATGATCATTATCACAAATATTCAATTTACCATCACTATCGTCGACTTCATAAATTTCAAACTCTCTAATAACAGCAGTAAATGATTTGGGTTCTTACTCACAAATCATTAAAGGTTTTATAACTTCACTCTGACTAGTTATACTTTGTAAACTTGTGGAGTCAGAACTCCACTCTGAAGCAGTAACTCTATTCTGTGACACTCTATTCAACAACGGCTTACCAGTTGCAACTATAGACTTCTTCACAACGCCGTTATCGTCACACAATTCGGAGTCAGGCCTGGAGTTTACATTTAGCTTATCACTGAACTTGCTCACCGGTTCACAGTTCACTTCTGTATGCACCTCTTGCACACGTGTAAAACAAAACCGTGTTTGTCTTGCATCTTGTAACTTATCTGTTGAGGATGTACTACGAAACCTGTTACACTCACTAGGTCTATATGCATTACTAGACATCATGGAGCTTTCTCGATATCCACCTCTCTGAGGCCTACTCGTCATCAATGATTGCATTTTGATCTCAGACTGCTCTATTCTAGGGGTGAGATGTAATAGACTGGCGAACTTGCTCATAGACTGATTGACGCTATCCTTTACCAGTTTCAGGATATCATCAAACTTTGGCTCAATACCCTCATCCTCCATACGGGAGCTTATCTTCACCCACTTCCTTTGCAGTCGAGTAGGTAGACGTCTTGCTATTACTTCTAGTATAAAACTCGAGTTGAGGTCACTCATGCGATTCATAGAAATCATTCCATTCTTGTAAATTAGCAAATTATCTAAAAACTGAGTGAGTGCCTGGAAGTCATCCTGTAATTTTTTTTTATTTTTTTTTATTTACAGCTTGATTCCACACTGTATTGACCACCATTACCCTTAACAGCCTCGAATAATTTCCCTGCAATCATCGAAGGTCTTCAAACCTTTAACGTAATATGCCCGTTGCCTCGTAGTAGCCCTCTTTTGGCTTCATAAACTTACAGCACTGTATAGCTCTTGC